AGCTCGAAGCCGGATGCAGGAACATTCGCAACAATCCACTCGCTGTCCCATACTGGGTCTCTGTTCTTGCGTACAGTTGGCGTCCTAAAGGTTACAATGGGGTCCTGTTTATGCCGCTGGGGTAGGTCTACAACCAGCTGAGCTCTCACGTAAGGATCAGACGAGAACGTGCCGAAGTCCGCACATGGAAGGTTGATGCCGCGATGAAACGTGAACTTCAGGCTGTAACCAGGGGGCGCATGAGGAATTGGAGTACTGTCGAACCCCCCGCGGGCTTGTGCTCGCCATTGGTTGCGACCTTCATTGCGACGGCTCGATCATGGAGTTTTTCCGTTTTATCGACAAATTTCGGGCCATACTTGTCCAGCGCATGCCGTGGACGTGCTTGTGGCGGCTCTTTTTCATCCTCCATGATCCCAGCGACCTAGAAAAGTTATGAAGAGATCCTGTTCTGTTTTACACTATTTTATTATAGTTGCTGCCTGCAGCACTTCGTCGAGTCAGCTGTGAACATGCGGGACGATGTGGGGACGAGATCTTGTCTTGCTCTTGTCCGTTCGTAGGGCTGAGTGGAGAGAAGAGAAGTCAGGAAGCAAGTAATGAGGGGAGGAAAGAGAGAAAAGAAAGAGGAAGAGGAAGCACAGGTTGCTTTATCAATTGCTTTCAAGTCACTTCACATACAACCAAACCTACCTTCAATGAAAAAGGTCAGTTCATGATGGATGTTGACTTCCCTTAGTATTGTTTCCCTTTTCCCTTTCCCCCTCAGCTGGCGGCAGGTAGTTAGTTCCAGAGGCACTGCAAGCCTGCATGATCGCGCCCCTCTTTTTGTCCCAAGTTCTCCTACGTAAGTAGTTCTGACCATTTCTGACTCCTGAACGGCAGAGGTTCTCGGATCTTCTCGGATGGTTTAAGCAAGGCCAAGCTTCTGCCATTTTCGGAGATTCTTGGAGTCTTCTCTTCTCGCCATTAACAAGCAAATAATACGCACCTCCGTACAGAGGAGTTATTATCTCCCTGCGAGTGGTCTGTACTCGCAATGATGATTTTCTCACCGACTATCCATCCATTATTGTCAACCCACAGCAACAGACCGAAGAAGAAAAAAAAAAAAAAAAAAAAGAAAAAGAAAAAAGAGAGAGAGAGTGAGAGACAGGCGCGGTAGTAAAATCAATAGATGAGCGAGATAGACTTGTTATGACATCTCTAAGTAATTGAATAATGGGTTACTATCATTTTAAAATTCTTAATTATTCTCAATTCGGGCGACAGTCGAGCTTCAGCATCAACTGAGACCAGCTCAGTAGACTTTCAGCATAGCAAGGACAGCCTAGTACAATAGGAACATAAGAACAGATTCGCTTTCCTCGAGTGGGATACCGCAATGCGTCGAGCATAGCAATAATCCCAAGAAAAAGGACAAATCACGATCCGCGGAACAAGAACTGCATATCTTCTGGGGTGAGCTTTTCCAGCGCCTCCCCTTGATCTTTGTTCAGCGTGCCGTTGATGAGATTTGCCTTCTTCTCTTGCAGCAGAACAATTCGCGATTCTACGGAATCCTCAATGCAGAGCCGGGTGATGACACAGGGCCGTCGTTGACCAATACGATGGCATCGGTCTGCGCTTTGCCATTCGGCAGCTGGATTCCACCACCTGATGGATTCCCGTTAGTACACGACTTTGACCAGGTATGTAGCAAGATGCTCGAGCGATACTTACGGATCGACGATGAATACTCTTGAGGCTTCGGTCAAGTTCAAGGCGACACCCCCTGCTTTCAAAGACACAAGGAAAACCTCTACATCAACGTTATTCATGAAATAATCAATTGATTTCTGACGCTGTGCAGGCGTCATCGTCCCATCCAGCATGACGGTGTTGAAACCAGCCCGACGAAGACGCCATTCAACAAGCTGAAGCATCGAGGTAAATTGCGAGAAAACAATGGACTTGTGAGTCCGCTTCTGGCTCCTCAATTTGTACAGCTCGTAAACAAGCATTTCGATCTTCGTCGACGACGTCCAGTCCTCCATTCGGATGCGATTGATGATGGAGTTCTTCTTGATGTGCTCCGCCTCCTGCTCAATATCTGGCTGCTCGAAATCAATGGAGAGGGGGATGTGACAACGAGGACAATCGACGACGCTGTCTGCTTCGAAAGACTGGATGTAATCTTTGGCACAACGACGGCAAAACTCATGATGGCAACGAGACCGAATAGCCTCTTCCGCAGGCTCATCACAGATACTGCATACAAGGACGTTCTGTCCACCGGCAGCATGCTTCTTCAGGATCAGGTCTGGATGATTCGCAACCTGCCGCATCTGCATGATCAGACCGAAGATGTTGGCGTAGTTGTTCAACATCACACCTCGGCTAACGTATGTATCGAACTGCCTTGTAGAATTCGTCATGATACTCCTGGAAAAGTCACGTTCAATTTCTCCGAAAAACTCGTTATGCAAAACGACGCGTTTCGGAGGGAGCTCCATTGACGCGGTGTGATCGCGCTTGACTCGTCTCAGCATGATCCTGTCAGTGATCAGGCGAAGTTTGGCCAAGGCCTCCTTGCGGGCTTCTGGATTGTCTCGTTCGGTAATGGGATTAAGGATCTCCTGATTGAAGACTGATACATGGCTGAACCCACTGTGCTTGCAATTGCTACAACGTTTATCCGCGTCCTGGGACCAATGAAGTTGCTGACATTTGCACTGCTTGCAGAAGTAGCACGCAAATGGGCGTACTTCGAGGAAGCGAAGAAGAGAGAAGAACTCGCCGATTCGATTCTGAACAGGAGTGCCGGAAAGACACCATTTATAAGAGGCTTTAAGGGCAAAACATGCACGTGCAACACTGGTAGTCCGTTGCTGAGAAGCATTAGCAAATATCAAATTGTAAAGTCCAAGGGCCTCTTTGATATACCTTGATGCTATGCGCTTCATCGAGAATAAGGCGGTGGTAGTCAATGGCATGAATGACACCTTCTCATTGTCAGTGGGCCTTCCTTTGCTGTACCATTGTGTTGATAGACTCACTATCTTCTTTCACGATCCCGTCGTTGCGGTTCCATCCTTTCCATTCCTTCCGATGAATGGATTCGAGGCCGGAATCTACATCCGACATTAGACCGAATTTTCACACTTGCAAAAAATATAACTCACAAGAAATCATGATCACATCATAAGATTCAAGGTCTTGCTTTGTTAAGTGTTTGACCTTGGCATTGGAATTGTGGTGCACAAGAACCTTCAACTGCCCATTCGTGTATGCCTGAGGTCATAAAGATTAGCGCCGTACAATAATTCAAACACGCAGAACAGACGTACTTTGATTTCAGACTGCCATTGCATCAAAGCAACCGGTGGCACCACAACAAGCGATGGTTTGCCGACGGGATAATCAGACATGAGAAGGGAGACCGCCTGAATAGTCTTTCCCATACCCATCTCGTCACCCAGCAAACCACCTTTATATTGACTTTTCTCTTGCTGCAACATCCAGTTCAAGCCCTCGAGCTGGTACGACTTCAGCGTTCTCGAAATGCCCGGAGGCTGTTCTGCTGGTACCGGTGTTATAGGGGGCGTGTTCTTCAAGTCGTCCCACATTTTTGTGATGAGAGGATGTTGCTTTTCAAGTTTGCGTCGCTCCCTGTAAGCCTAGATTCTGTGTTAGAGCAATATGACGTTGGACGAAGCGAGCATACTTACTCGTTGACTCATCCAAGGTGGAATAAGAGTGCGTCTTTGGCTTGCAGGGGCCCTTGACGCTTGCCTCCGCGCTCGCGAGCCTGAACTGGCATTTGCTGTGCCGGACTTTTTCGCCCTTTCGGCAATCAACGGCTCCTCCTCGCTACTAGACGACGGAGGACCGTCTGCTTCCGAATCAGTTTGATAGTTGCCATCCCCTGCTTCATCATCACTTAAGTCAGAAGCTTCGCTGTCCAGAACGGTTTGCTGCGTTGTCGACCGCCGAGAAGTCCTAATACTGCGCTTTGGCTGCCAAGGCTCAAGGTCCTTTTCATCCTCTGCATCCTCGAAGCCGTCAGAATCGAGGATCTCCAGGAGGTCATCATCCTCAGTAGAATCTTTGATCTCCGGGGTGTCACGACTGGCGCTCGCGGCAACCTTCCGACGCTTGGAGAAGGATTCCTGATATTCTTGCATTTGCAGAGCCTCAGCCAAAGCCTCGTCCGAGGTACCCAGAGTCGAGTCATCCGGGGAGAGTGCTGCGGCGTTCCGCTTAAGTCCTCTTTGCATGCTGCTGAGGGGTATTGTTCTTGAGCGTAGTTCCCGAGCTCGTGTAGAAGCATTAACTCTCCTCCTGGGTTTATTCACATCCGACTCGGCAGGAGTCATAACAACGCTAGTTGCAGGAGTATCATAGTCGTTTCTTCCTTCCCCAAACGTGTCTTCCGAGGAAGAGGAAGAAGAAGCGCACGGAGGTGACTGCTTCTTCTTCAAGGGTATAGCAACTTCGACTGAAGTAGAGACAAATCTCGGCTCAACCGACACCAAATGACGCTCTTCATTTTTCTGATTAGCCCCGTGGTCACTCGGATGGTCGGTGGTGGATCTGGGGTTTGACTGTGCTAATCGCAGGGAGGTGCGTCTCGGCAACGATGATTGCTTGTCTTGAGGCACTGGAACAAATCATTAGCCTTATAAATGAACTGTGCTGGACGAAATTGTAGTAGAAAGCTTTCAATCTTCGAATTCAAAGATGAGTAGCATGTTTGGGAGGATTTTTGGCATGGAAGCGACAGCACTTACCGCCAGATGGCATTGTTCCTTTTGCTGTGGAAGCCCTTCTCCCCATGATGACAGGACTTCGATTATCTACCAAATGGTCCTGATTCCCCTGTCAAAAGGAGGATCTGGGATGAGTGACAAACCGAAGTGTGCCCCTGGTACCGTGCTCAAAAATTGATAAGAATGTTGGTGGCAAATATCGGCACTGCTGATATGGACCTTCGGTCGGAAAAGGGAGGCAGCAGTGTCGGAATTTTGGGAAGAGTTGGAAAATTCTTTCACAGCTCGACAGGAACACGGCCTGTCATTCACAGACCTGTCACTACCCCCTCGTATACGACTCTTGGCGAGTCCAAGTAAACTTCTTTCATCAAAGTTCTTCTGTATCTCCTACTCCTCACCAGGCCCAGACAATTCAGTCTTCATCCAGGAAACGCGCTGATAAGGACAACCCCGAAGTTCGCGTAAAGTGGAACACGAAATTACCACGAGTCCTGTGACCTGAAGCTTATCAGACCTGCATCAATCATCTTAGCACCACTTTGAATAACGTTGTCAATAAAGAGGTTCTGCATGCAATATGTACGTTTCACTCGCTCCGAGGTCTTCGAGGCTGTCATTTTAATTGTTCACAGGGCGGATAGAAGGTCAACAAGAAATCAGATAAGGGGCCCGTACGTCCTCGACCCTTTCTCCATCCGCCTGGTTGATCTTGCTGATTCATGATTTCGCAGCCATTCTGCGCTCACAGATTTCTTAGCTGTAAGTACCTCATTCTTCTAGCATCAATAAATGGCCATGTCCGTGCTGATACTTGAATTGTCTAGTCCAACAACATCTCCGCCGCTCAGATTCATCAAGACTACCAAAGACGAGTGAGACAAGCCGAGCGAGAGGCGGCTGCGAATGAACCGGCAGATGAACTCGAGGAGGAAGATGAATATGAAGACAATGAAGACAATGACGGCGAAACGGCCGAGCAGAGAAAGAAACGCAAGCGAAAGGAGGCAGCGACGCTCGCAAAGATCAAGCAGAGCAAGGAGTTCGCTCGCCGCAAAGCCCGCCGCACTGGGGAACCCGATGATGACGACGATGTCATAGCTAGAGAGATGATGTATCAAAAATCCCGACCAATGCCAGGCCAACTTGAGAATTGTGAACTGTGCAATAAGCGTTTCACGGTCACTCCATACAGCAAAACCGGCCCCAGTGGTGGTCTCCTCTGCGCCAAATGTTCCAAAGAGGTAGCAGACGATGAAAGAAAGTCAAAAGCTAAGAAGCGAGGGCCGAGAAGTGGTCGGCGGCAGAATCAAAGCAACTTGCTCGACGGAATTGTTCAGCAAGGTGCTCTCAGTTTGGTCGAGATGTGTGCAAAGGTGAACATTTTTGACCAATCCTTCGATACGTCTTGTTCGAGGCTGACCGGAGTCAGAAAGTTGCTGATAACCACAACGACATCGAAGAATTTGGGGACTTACCGTCACGGTTGCTTCGGCGCCTTAGCCAGATATTTTCCAAGAGGCGGATTCTTACGTCAAGGACTTTGGACTTGTTCCTACGACCTGAATTGAATTTCATTGACATCTACGATGCGGCTAGTATGTCTCTACTTGGTTATATCAAATTCTCAACGTATTAACCTGTCATAGAACTCGAAACGGACGACTTTCACAAAATATTCGCTATTATGCCGGCCTTGAATCGTGTCAATCTCCGATTTGCGGGCCAAATCAAAGACAGAGTCGTTGAATACATGATTGACCGGGATCTCCAAGTCAGGCAACTGCAGTTAGATGCCGCTAACCTTGTCTCTGATCCTTATTGGCGGCGGCTCTTCCAGAAATTGGGATCACAGCTCGAAAGCCTGAAACTGTCGAATCTCGACTTTTCCTTTGATGACGAAACCGTGGAGACACTGTGTAGAAACTGCACAGCCCTCAAAAGACTGAAGCTCAAGCAGTGCTGGAAAATAGGTAGCAATTCTCTACGGGCAATTTCAACTTTACCAACGCTTGAGCACTTGTCTCTCGATACTGTCCAAGAGTTCGAGATTGAGCCCTTTTTACTGATGGTGAATACGCTTGGCCCGAGTCTACGCACACTATCCCTGGAGGGCTTCCGCAACGCTGATGATCGGCTTTTGGATCTTATTCATGACAAATGTCGGTTGCTCTCAAAACTTCGCTTTTCAGACAATACTCTGTGCAGCGACAGAGGCTTTGTCGACCTGTTCACGAATTGGGCCAATCCTCCCTTAAGATTCGTGGATTTGTCTTCCACGCGAGACGTGGATAATGCTAACCCTGATGGTCCTGTCGAGGCAATTGGACTTGCATCTCAAGGGTTCATTGCGCTCATGAACCACTCAGGCTCGACCCTTCAGATACTGAACATCTCATCGTGCCGACATATATCGCGTGCTGCTTTCGAGGAGGTGTTTTCAGAAGAAAAGACATACCCGTTCCTGCAGGAACTGGACGTATCCTTTCATACGGTCATGGATGATTTCCTCATTGGTAAAATATTCCAATCCTGTCCAGCGATCAAGAAAGTTGTGGCTTTTGCATGCTTCAATGTGCGCGATGTCCAGGTTCCAGTTGGCGTTGCATTGGTTGGAGGCTTGAAGGCCCAGCACTCCATTGTCATCGACGGCCCAGCGTCTGGTTAATCAGATCATCTAGGCAAAAGACTTTCCAAGATACTTTAGGACAAGGCATGAAGCTAAGGGGATGACATATCTGCGTTCCATGTGGCGTAATGGGTGAGCCTAACCAGACTTTCGCCTCTGGTCCTTTCTTCAAGCGTTACAGTGTTACATTATGTTATAGCTTGCTGCATGAAGTGCTTAACTTAACAACCTTGCAAGGAAGCTCTGTTTAGCCCCAACACAAGCCAGCAATATCATAGTAGGATGCGCTCTGTCTTTCTCGATGACATGATGAATCAAGTACCTATGTTGAATGGAGCAAACGTTGACACAACATTGCATCAAAGCTTAAGTCATGGATGTACGAGTGGCTCTTGACCGTGACAGTTGATGCAGGTTACCTACGTTTGAAAGGGGACTTCGCCTACTTCTATCAACCTACCTACTGAGATGTCTCGCCCCGCGTCGCCAATATTCGTACCGAAGACGTTGCTTTCTAGGTTGAACCCCGTCGTCAACCGATCAATGACTATGTCGAAGCAGGGTATAGTCATTCTGGATATTTCATGATTTTTATTAGATTTGCGAAAGCTGGCAATTGGCGTCAAACGTCACAAGCTTTGGTCAGGCCAGGCATCATAAAGGTGTCAGAAAAGTATTTCGGTGAACTCCGGATGAAGAGTAAGGTCTCAAGCATAGAAATCTCATAATAAAGTGATAAGGTGATCTGCATAATTGCCTTAGGTCAGTCTGCTCGCACAAACTGATCCAGCGCATCTTTATGCAGGTACTCTAGTAAAGTATCTATGGTCTAGTGATAACCGCATTGACGTATGCTACTTTGAAGAAAGCGCATGTGCATGATAGTTACATCTGATTTGAGAGATTCCCCCGACTAGCTTGGGGTGCCTACCTTAAGTAAGGTACAGTGCTTGGGACCTTAGGTAGGTACCTTAGATACCTCTGGCCGGATACCTATGTCAGCGGCACAGTATCAGTACAGTACCCGGAATACCTACGGTACCTTTGTACTAAGTATACACAACAAGTAGCATCGGGCTAGGATTGGCACCTACTTTTATTATTTGATTTTCTTCAAATGCAGTCTCAATAAATGGTCGAGATTTTTCGTTGGAAGCGGTCCTGTTTCAAGTTCCATCAAGATGATCAAGTACACCACATCATCACTGATTTCGTGGTGATTACATCTACGATCATTGCTCGACCGCGGTTCGAAGGGATCTGTTGATTGCCTGCTATATTTGGCATGGCTTAAGTTACGACTTCGTACCCTACAAGTCTCAAATTAGGTATTAATATATTATTCCATAAGCTCCACACTCTCTGCTCCCAAGACGCCACCGCGAGCTACCGTAAAATCTAGACTAAATAATACGGTGGTCCGGTACCTTACTGCTTAGCTTCTTGCTCAGCGCCAACATTTGGCTGATGGAGTCTATCAGGAGGTAGATTATCCGGATTCAGACCTTGACGTTCCGTGTCAGAAATAATGATGCCTCAGGAAGCTCGCCATCAGTCTATTTGCTTCTGATACTCTTTTCTAAGCTGCTAGCTGTTGAATGAGGTCATACAACATTAAAAGACGGGCAACCTCTCCTACAAGTGAGAGCTGAATTTAATTGACCCTTAACCCCTTTGCTGGGCTATCTCTTTCGAACAGTGCTAGAGAGCCTAATGGCAACAGCCACGCATCTTTATTGTCCGTCCACCTCAGTCAGGGGGCGACATCTCCGAGGGTGATACCTTCGGATCGTAAGCAGGAAAAATCTCAATGTGTTCCAGAGATATGTTCTCAGAGCAATCCCAGTATGCTCGTCTTCTACCTGCAAGAATCTGCTCTTATTATATGGCTTCATCTCAAGTCTGTGAAGGTTCAGTGGTTGATGAACGAGGGTGAGATCATATTCAAGGGCTTCGGAATATGCAGCTCGATAACAATGTACCAAGCCTTTGTCGATGGCTAGACTCGTACGGTACAACACCTCGGCTACCTAGAAGAAAACAGGCTGGAAATCAAAAGCATGGAATACTTGGTGAATATGGAGTTGGGAGCAAATACTCCGAATGCTGACTCTACCCAGTCAAGCAGGAACACAGTACTCAACCACCTGCTTCAAGAGCATCCCCATTGGACTCCATGGCATATTGTTCGAAATTCGACGGACCCGCCACAAATGCTAACTTATAAGACTCCGACCTGAAAAAGGCTACCTACCGATATTGACATCTCTACTTTGTTGGCCAGGTCCCTTCTTGCCTGGTTTCCAGGTAGATATCTGAGTCTACTCCGTAAAAATTACTGCTACAGTATCTTCAGGCTGTGGTGGGTCATAGAAGGCTAGGAACGTACTATTAAAGCTAGGTAGATTACCTTAGGTACTCCGTACTGAGTATCGTAATCCGCACCTAAGATAGAAAAGCTTGAGAGGTATCTAGATAATTTTCGATGCAAAAGACATCTCTCTATTATCAACTTCTATGTCACGCCCAAGTTCTCAAGTTCTGTATCATACCTTTTTGGTATTAATATTTCTGAAATACAAGCAAGAGCCAAAACCATGGTAAGATTCCGCGAAGTACCTAGGTAATGTAAGTAAGGTACGGAGTAGTAGTAGATAGGTAGGGGATTACAAGTCACCAGGCCCAGGACCCGGGTACCTTGGATATTTATAGGAATTATACCGATGGCTAGACAGGATCCCATCCGTGCCTAAGGTATGGAGCAGGGTTGACTCGGCCCTTCTTCTACTACGTATCTGTCTACCTACCCACCTTACTTTAAATTCTGATGGTTGATGATTCGAGGTTAAGAAATAACTTTCCAGACTATCTATCAGTCCAGGCCTGCTATTAATGTCTTTTCTGGTTTCCCGCCTCCCTCTCTCTTCCTTGTCCATCCACGATTTATTATTGTCCGCTTCTCTGGCTGATGACTCCCCGTAGTCTCATTGTCTTCTTTCACCCCCTGTTGACTATTTATTTGTTTTCCAGTTTTTAACCACCCGCTCATTTCTCTCTGTCATCGGACCACACCATACTCTTCTGACTTCTAATCCGTCACTCAAAAAGCATAGTCATTGTCATCCTTTTTTATTACTGCAAAGTCTACGCAGCGACAATTGTCTGACTCTCAAACCATTATCCACTCCAAGAGCCCCGCTGGTGATTTATTTTTGATGGTCCTAGCCAGAGGCGCTATCGATTTTCTACCAGAAACTTCCCTTCGCTCATTTCGTGCGCTCGCAGTCAGCATTCTCCTTACCCCTTAATGTATTCAAGTCCGCCCACAACAGATTTTCCCTGACGGTGCATAGCCTCGTAACCGCTGCGTCTTCATTCTTTGGCGTTTCCTCGACATAAGCCCCACCTGCATCGGAATCTGAGTCGTTTCGAAAGGCCCAGAATCGCCCCTCCACAATCACCCGTTGCCTTGTTTACGGAAAGCGAGGAGCAACCCAAGAGGATAATTGTTGGAATTGCCTTGTCTGCGGGACTTTCCGTCTAGCTTGCGATTCCTCGTTAGGAATAAGTGGCCGACCTTCACAAGTCTGTGACCGACGGTCCATCTGTACAGATGCCAATTAAGCTCCCCAAGGGCTTTACCCGGCGAAAGTCGTCTGGAAATGCTCTTGAGGAGGTGGAGAATCCTCCTCCTCAGCCGTCCTTTCGAGTTTTTGAACGCCCGTCTGCGGACCGAAAATCCTTGAGTGAAGGGAATATTTTCTCAAAAAGATCAAATGGTGGCCAAGTTCTGTACACTCCCACAGAAGAGGACGACAATATTTTCGCTGGATCCGAGAATTTACCACCAAAGCATCGGTACAGTTCCCCTTCCCAGTCTTAGGCGGATCAGTTGATATATTATTGGCAGGGTTACTAACTTTGGGATTCAACTACACTAGCAGCAATCCCGGAGGATCATCAGAAAGTTCTTCATCTATCCGATTCAGCTCATCATCGGCGCCGCGCTCTTTGACAGCCATACCAATTCAATCCGACGCCCAATCACCGCACTCTCGAAACCTCCACGACATACCTATTCCCCCTATACCTGGTGCGCTACGCGCAGCGGCTGGCAGAACCTTCTCTTTTGGGGGAAGACTCTCAAAGGCCTCGCCTTCAATCCCCCCGCTCGACAGTCCACCCCTGGCCCATCCAGGAACAGGACGATGACGTCCAGTACAGCCAGCACTGCAACACCACCAAAGCTGTTAGACGATCTGGATGTTGGTCAGCTTGGAGATGAATTTAAAAGTATGTTTGATGACCTCGGGAAGCGGGATAGCGCACACATTTCCGAGTCCACTTCTCCCGGGAAGTCGTTAGACATGGTACGAGCCACTCCGTTCGCTCTCAGCTCCTCGTCGTTCTCTAACAGGGTCAACGTTAATAACCTTTGGTAGTCACCATCTGCGCACCCCTCATCCACGGCTTACCGGAAGGAAGAAAAAGTATCGCGTCCGGCCCCTATCAATACGAATGTGTCCAAGGAAATAGAACCTTCCCCTTACTCCTGGGACAGTCGGCACTCCGGAGAGGGCCTTCTCAACGCTATGCAGTCCCCCGCGGAGGACTCCCCGATCAGTCAGCCAGGTGTGCCAGAAGGGCGGCGTAAATCTCTTCCCTTGGCAACTGCTACGACTTCCCACCGGTCTCTGATCAAGCCTCAGACGGGAGGAGACAGAGGACTGAGGAGAAGCGTCGTCTACTCGATGAAACGGGGTTCTACGCCTATCGAAGATGAAGACGCTAAATTAATAATGGACTCCCTTCATTCAAGTAAAGGTGGGGTGCATTTCGCGTCGACGTCGGACCATGAGGGCTCGGACGACGAGCATGACACACCCCTCTTTGCTCACTCAAACACGCAAAAGTCTCCCAGCCCTTCAAAGTCACCCGCAGAAATACGACGTCAATCGCCTCCAGGGGGGAGAGCCAACTAGACCCTTCCATTGCGGCGCACGCGCTACTGGCTGCCCAGTACGAGCAAAGCCAGCCGAAGCCCGGCGCATCGACGAATAAAGTCATGACGCCTTCGCAATTTGAGCATTATCGGCAGCAGCAAGAACTCAGGAGGTCGAACAGTGATGCTTCCAGGAGTGAAGCCTCGGCTGAGAGTGACTTCGATGAAGACGACGAGGTAGAGAAGAACCGGGAAGCTGAAAGGCAGCGACGGAAGCAGGAAGCTCATCTATCTGTATATAGACAGCAGATGATGAAAGTCACAGGCCAACAGTCTCCCGCACCACCGTCCCTTCGACCGGAACTTGACCACGCCAGCAATAGTACGCCGAACCTGACGATCAATGCACCAAATTCTGGCAACAGATCGGGCAGCGGGAAGAGCAGCGAGGGTGATGAGGACGAGGACATCCCGCTAGGGATCCTTGCTGCACATGGCTTTCCACATAGAAACCGCCCCCCAAGTCGCTTGGCACCTTCAAGTTCCATTCCAAATCTTCGGGCGTCGTTCCAGCAGCCCTATGTCGCATCTCCAGGCTCCGTCGCTGGGGACAATGATTTGACTAATCGCAGCAGCTTACCTGTCTTTGCTCGAAACCTCCCTCGGGATCCGTACTACGGGGCAAGCTTAGTCAATCCCCCAAACAGAGAGTCCTTGGCTTTTGGAGGGGGTGCGTCGGTGCATGGGGGCCCTCTGCTTCGGCTGCATTGCCTCCGGGTGGCTTGGTGGGCGTCATCGCTACGGAAGAGCGAGCAAGAGCATTGAGACGAGGGAGTCCCAATACTCAAGCCGTTTATGAGTTCCAGAACGGACTGGGAGCATCAGGGGCACCCACCCCATCGGGCGGCGTCCCAAGACCTTACACGATGATGGGTATGAATTCCCCTAACCTTCAGGCGGGAGTCTCTGCTACAGAACAGGCGCAGATACAATTGTCACAACAGATGTCCCAAATGATGCAGGTGCAGATGCAATGGATGCAGCAAATGATTTCCATGCAAGGAGGGCAGACTCCGCCGCCGCAACCACTGATGTCACCCGCGGGTTTTCCGCCATCGTTGTCTGCCAATGCGAATTTGAGGCCTGCTTCCATGCCTACAGCAGGACCGTTCAGTCCGGCTCCTCCTACCTTCAATGACCAAAGAACTCTAAGTATGCTGGACCCGAATGTCTCTCGTCTCAATGGCCCGGCGATACCCTACCTTCCTGCTGGCAACCGACCGGGCACACCGCTAGGCCAAGGTTATGCACCGTCTATTGCGCCATCAGAACGTAGCAATGTCGGCATGGCACCTCGGTATCGGCCTGTATCGACGTTGCAACCCGACCACGGATCTGCGGCCTATCCCTCGATGGCCAGACAATGGAATGACGAAAACCAGAGAACAGCTTCCCCAGCAGGACCGCTCGCGATGAAAAGTCCGTCGATGCCAAGTGTGACCGTCCGTCCCGTCTCTACCGACGGAAGACCGCAAAATGAAAGTAAGAACGCTGTGCTAGACGACGAGGATGAAGATGAAGGGTGGGCCGAATTGTTGAAGAAACGCGAAAAGAAGAAAAGCAGTTGGAGAATTAAGAAAGAAACGTCCAGTCACGGAGACTTACTGAATGTGGTGCATTGATGATGCCCTTACTCGGCGCCAAATTCTCGGTCTCGTCACGATACCTTCTGCGTAAGCAGACATATACGCATACTCTATTACCTTGACTTACAGTCCTTGCCCTCGACATCCCGGTGTTCTTATTTCATACAGCCGAGATATCCAAAAAGCGGTTGGATGCTCCTTTCACTTATGTCTTTTGGACCCCCCGTGTCCCTCGAATATCTATTGGCGGGTTTACGATACAGCATTGAAGATCGGCACTGCATCATGACAGCTTCTTTCTATCCATTTATTTATTGTCTTTCTCCATTCTTTAAGCAAGCTAGGGGTTTTAAGGCTGGTGTTTTGAGGCCGCAATGGTATATGATCATTATTCAGCAAAGGGTTGTGAAATCCTCTGTATCAAAGCAATCGGCAAATGTATCTACTCTTGTATCTGTAATTGACTACTAGTAATATACTGGGCATGGGCTTCTAGGGAACGCTGCTCCTAAATATTTGATTGCATTTCAATCGCCATCTTTGTTCCTCCTGTCAGTAAAATATGGCTAGCGATTCACTAGACTCGGTCTCCGCAGTGCTTCAATCTACTGGAATTCCCCTAATCACATCTCTTGCTTCACACAGTGTGTTCTCCACGATTGTGGATGCAGGCAGGATTTCACGCACCAGGCCAACACCAGTGCCAGCATATGTTGTAAGCCTCCCCTTGGGTCCCCAGCCGGCATCGCCCTTCTTCAACTCTTCTTCGTACAAACTCTTATTCTCCTCATCACTCATTCCTCGCTCCACAGCATCGACGTAACTCTGGTTGATAATACCGCGCCCGTCGTATCGATTAGGCCAACCCCCGATGCCCCTCACTCGATCATATACAGTCGACCTGATAGTGTTGAGACCGCCATCAGATGCTCTTAATATCTCCTTCTGATATCCTTGAGCTATATTCGCTTCTGCAGAAGCCAGGAAGCGAGTACCCATGGCAGCGCCGGCAGCCCCCAGTGCCAAAGCCGCTGCCAGTCCTCGTCCGTCAACTATTCCTCCTGCAGCTATGGTGGCTATGTGAGTTAGGTCTCGCTCCCGTAAAGCATCTTGGACCTCAGGTATCAGAGTCAAAACTGAGGCCGAATGGGCTAGACCATGACCCCCCGCATCAGAACCTTGGACGACCAAAGCGTCTGGTCGAAGACCTTCGGCAACCGCAATTGCCTCATCCACGGCACCCACTTGCACCCAGATCTTGGTCCGGCCAGAGGTCACGCCACGCACCTCCTTCACCCAGGGCACGAGGTCGTCCGGTTGGTTCTTTGGACCAAATAGCCACACAGCGCATGGCGTGTACTTCTGGATCGCGGCAATAGAGACTTTGAAATCGGCACCCCAGTTGATGAAGCCCACCCCAATGGGGAGCACACCTGTTTCCTCGTATACTTGCTGTGCCATACCACCTGATTGCTTCACCAGACGGGCGGCAACTTCCAGGTTATGATCTAAGCTCGAAACATCGAATCCTGCAGCAAGAAATCCAAGCCCACCGGTGGAGGAGACAGATACTGCCAGCTGGGGGCCGGCAATGTTCAGCATTGGAGCCGAGGCCAGAAGGGGACTCTTTGTCCAAGGATAGTTTGATTTCAATATAGTTCTCGGAGACATGATATCAATACTGTGTGATGTCTAGATCTCGGATTGCTTGAGCATAGTTTAGAGCAATAGATAACGTGCCTTAAGACTAGAGTGAGGATGCATGCCAGTTTATATCACTGTAAGATACTATACTCAGCTTGCGGATCGTTTCCAGCCGCCATCCCGATGCCGTTCCACATCCTCTGGGGTTTAATCCAATCAGTAAACCGCTCACTCTTCCGCAAGGGAGACCCTCTCCAGCTATCAATTCAACTTGCCTTGAGTCATTGGGTGGTAAGTCACTCGGATACGGTCGGGCCGCGGGACACTTTTAGTGATCAATATCCGTAGTATCACGTGGCTAAAATCACGGGACTTTTGAAGGCGGTAGATAATGAATGATTGAACCCGATAAAAGCATTTTGATAGTAGAAATAGACTAGACAGATCTTCTTAATTGCTTCACTCTTCCATCCATATCTTCAGTTTGCTCACAGAAGCTCACAACCTTTTAATAACTCCCCTGCTGCTTTGTACAAAGGATTCGCCCTCCTAACCTCGATCTTTCAGGCTTGTAAGTTCTCTGATGTCCTTCAAGGCTGTTGTCCTTAGGCATTATTATTGGTCATTTGCTGATATCGTCTGGTAGATCAAACTACTGTTTCTTTCGTTCTTTTCCCTTTTTTGGATATTTAAGGTGAGTTTCGATCGAGGTTTCCGAGGCGAACAGGGGATCTTACAGAGAACAGTTGCCTCTCTTGGTTTTCATCTATTTCACCCTGTCAATCATCACTTCTGTTTGTTCGTCCTTGGGCGCCGGCTCTTTTGTCCGTGAGGATCGTGGGACTCTTGAGAGCAAGTTTGAGACAGCCGCAAGTTCACTTGTCATTCTGTCAAGATGAACGCGCCAGATCGGTAAGCAAGATTAGTCCCACTGTCTATGGAAAACGCATCTTCATTTTGATGTCTTGGCTGCCTTCTTTATTCTTGTCCTGTCTCTTGTTAGGAGATCTCCCTCAAAACTGCAGCCAAAAGTGATGGAGGGGTTGTCCCTTGCCAAAAGTGGAAATGGAGGATGTTGCCTTCACTATGTGCAGCCCTGCAACCGGGTTTCCAGCTTGGTCTTCTGCGCTCTCGGCAACACAATCACCACCTTCCTCATGCTTGTGCCTACCATCATCAACACAAGTTCTGTTGACAACCCATTTCCCTCTTGACCTGATCGTGAACTGTTTGTCTTCCGTTGCCCAACGCCCTTTTGTTTCTACATCTTGGCCTCTGGTCTTGTCCTTTGAGAGAGTCTTGTCGCCATGAATCCAAAGAAACCATTCATGCTCCCCAACGAGATGGCCTACGCTCGTTGGATACATGCTGCTGGAGGTTCCCGTAACAATAATGCCTGCCACTCTTCCATAAATTTGGACAATGACCAGCCGCGCAGGTGCTCACTCATATCCCATTCACGTGCCTAAAATAACTCTACAAGGGTCAACGAGCGTTGGGTATTCAAGCTGACACTGTGTTTTTTCTTTAGTTTCGAGTCTTTTGTTCTGTCTCCTGGAGAAGAGAAAGTCGAGGTTGAGACCGATACTCGTAAGTTCTTCCATCAAACTTCGCGGTGCAGATATGACGGCCGATCTAATGCATGTAGGCATTCCATCTGCCTCTATTTTCACTTTCAACAAAGAGGACCACACGCTCGGCAACCTCCTCCGCTCCCGTCTTCTGCAGAATTCTCATGTGATCTTTGCTGGTTACAAGGTATGTCCGCCTTGGAAGCCGTGCTTCCTTCAAATTTACTTGAGGTCTTAAGGGCTTTCCTTGAGAGCTCTGGGATGCGGGACTCTGACGAATTGTCTCAGGTTCCCCATCCTCTAGTTCCCAAGTTTGAACTCCGCGTTCAGACTGATGGCGAGATCACTCCTAAGGATGCTCTGCTCGCCGCCTGTCATGACCTTGTCAAGGATCTGGGCATCCTTTCCCGAGAATTCACCAAAGAATACGAGCTGCGTAAGATGGTCGGAGCTACCCAGCAGCAGCAGAATGGTACTGCAGAAGGTGCTTAGATTGTAGGCTGCGATACTGGCGAATCGGAGCTGTTTTGCACCTGCTTGTTTTCCTCTGGTCTGGATTTTGGCGCATCTGGTTTATGCGAATCACCTGTACACTAAAACGTGGCGATTTGCCATATTTTCCATGCATTGTCTTGTACGGGCTTCATGGTATCGCAAATTGCACGTTACTCGAGATGATGATTTATCGAGTCGCCTAAAGTTTGGGCTCGGTTTTTGGAGGAGCCTCTACGCTACGAGTTCATCATGATAATGAGGGATGTTAATTGCTGTCTCTAATGATAACGTCCGGTTTGATGACTATTATGCAACGACAAGCAGCAGTCGAGACTTTAATACCGCCTAGAGGTTCAAAGCTACAATTCAGATTGCATTTGTGACTGGAATATCTTCAAGTTGCGATGAGTAAGTTACTGTGTATGGTTGTACCTACTGTAGGTTATATTTAGTTCACGCTTTGGATCACGAGGGGTTGGAGCGTGGATTCCCGGAAATTGAGGCTCCACATCTCCCTTTTGGGCTAGCGCCGATGTTGCCTCTGCGTGCCTGAACGTCCAGGCGTCACCACAGCCGCAGCTCCTCCTGAATCCCTCCTCCCAACTCTATCTCGCATCGTCTGGTTTTCTTTCGTTCATCTGCTTCTTTGTCGTCAATTTTCTAGTTGCTTGATAGTGATTTGATATCTGTATCTTCTCGACTTGCGGTACCTATCTTCCTTCCCACTTCTAATGCGAGCGCTGTGATGTACTCTTCATCGAACTCCTTCTTGGGCGGCGTCAACAACGCCCGCCCAGGACAGCCGCCTTTCATCCAGCAACCTCCATACTCGCAATTCCCTCAGGGTCAGCAACAAATACCCCAACAGACTGGCTTTCAACCACAGCCGACTGGATATGGACCTCAATCGGCCTCTCATCTGCAGCCTCAGCCAACGGGATTCCCTACTGGACAATTGCAACCTCAGTTCACAGGCTTCCCCGGCGCAGCGCCTCAGCAGCAGCAACAGCTTGGCGGCTATCAGGCGCCCGCACAACAGCCGCAGTTCACGGGTTATCCTCCTCAAAGTCAACCTCCGTCGCTTCAGGTTCCTTCGACCACCGGTCTGCCCACTCGACTTGCTCCCAGGACGTCTTCGGAGATAGCCAACTCGTTTAGCGATGGTGCCGGCGTGGCGCCTCCACCACCACCCAAGTCTTCAGGGAGCAAGATTCCTAACATACGGCTATCGTTCATCACTGCGCAAGACCAAGCGAAGTTTGAGCAACTTTTCAAGTCCGCGGTGGGAGATAGTCAGACAATGGACGGTTGGTAGTCCTCAGATGACATCACATTGATTGAGAGAATGAATTGCTGAAGTGTATCGCATCAGGGGAAAAAGCTAAGGAGCTACTTCTACGTTCGAGACTTCCCGGCAGTGAATTGTCGAAGATATGGTGGGTAAAATGTCAAATGTTCTGAGGGATGATCATGAAGCTGATTATTTAATCCAGGGTTCTGTCCGATACCACCAAGTCTGGGCAATTATTCTTCCCCGAATTTGCTTTAGCCATGTACCTCTGCAATTTGAGGATCACGGGTCGAGAACTTCCAGCGACTCTACCGGACAAGATCAAGAATGAGGTTTCAAGTATGGTGGATATCATCTCGTTTGGGGTTCCCGACACAGAGCCGCAAGCCGCTGCGAGAACGAACGTTCCCAGCTTCGATGCTCCATTATTGGAGAACAAATCTGCTCCCCCGGCTCCCCAGCATCCTAAGCCGCAGCAGCCATCGAATGCACAGTTTCTTTCGCAACTTACTGCGCAGCCCACAGGCTTTGGTCCTCAAGCAACCGGCTTGCAACCCAATCAACCCTCTCTGCTTGGAGCGAACTCGGCTCTCGCCCCACAGGCTACGGGCTTCCCCGGACAGCCTCAGCAGCAGTATCTGCAGCCCCAGCCAACAGGTTTAATGACCAATCCTCAAGCTACAGGCTACAATGGTCCCCGTCCCCCACTTCCGCCTATGCCTACCGGATTTGCCTCGAATATTAGTTCAATGCAGACGGGCGGATTGGTTGCCCAGCCGACTGGAATTCCTGGCCAATGGGGGTTTGTTAACGCACCGTCGTCGGGTTTGCCCAACATCGAGGCCTTGAAACAGCAACTCATGCCTCAGCCTGGTCGTGAGGGCGGCTTTACGACAGCCGGTCTCTCTGGCAATGCAAGTATTCCTTGGGCGATCACAAAGGAGGAGAAGAAAATTTACGATGATCTCTTCCGAGCATGGGATGGCTTCCATAAAGGCTTCATAGGCGGCGATACCGCTATCGAAATCATGGGACAAAGTGGCCTGGATCGCAAGGATTTAGAGCGGATCTGGACGCTTGCCGACCCCAACAATCGAGGCCGTTTGAATATGGACGAATTCGCCGTAGCAATGCACCTGATTTACAGAAAACTCAACGGATACCCAGTCCCGAATCGTCTACCCCCTGAGCTAATTCCTCCGTCAACGAGGAACTTGAACGATTCAATAGGCGCGGTCAAGTCTCTGCTGTCTCAGGATGCAGAGAATCGCAAAGCTTCTGGCGCATTTTTGCAACCTCAGAAGACGGGTGTGAGTTACCTCAAGGAGCACTCATTCCGTGGCGGCGCAAGGTCTCCAGGATTCGGCCGCAAGGATGCCACTCTCTTTAAGAATAATGATGAGGCTGCTGCTGGTTACCGGTCTAGCGCCCGTCGTCGTATGGGTAATGACGCCCGGCCATCATCTCCCGCTGCCTCTCAGGCATCCGAGGAGGAGCTATCTGTTGAGCAGCTGAAGAAGAAGATCCGGGAGACTCAGATCATGCTTGATGCTGTCGATTTTCATGATGAAAATCGAGCCGAGGAGGAGGAGGTCTTGGATCGCCGTGATCGTCGGGAAGCGGAAAGCCTCATGGACCGAATCCGTCGCGTTCAGGACGATATCGACACCCATCCTAATGCAGCCTTCCGTAACCTGGATAATGGCGCCGAAAGGAGATCCTTGCGTCGTCAGCTTCAAGCCTTCGAGGACCAGGTTCCTCAGGTCGCATCAGAGGTCCGCCGTATTGAACGTGAGATTGCCGATGCCAAACTTGAACTTTTCCGCTTGAAGGACGCAAAGGCACATCCAAACAGTGCTGCCAACATCGTTGGAACAGGACCCGGTGGTACCGTTACGGAGGCAGATCGTATCAAGGCCCGCGCCCGCGCAAGGATGCAGGCTCGGGCCGCCGAACTTGCTGGCAGACCAGTGCCTACTTCAGTGGACGATGATGGAGCTGCGGCTCGCAGGTTGGAGGCTGAAAGTACCAGTATTCGAGCAGACCGAGAAAAGAATGAGGCCATGACACGTGACGTCGAGGAGAGCGTGAGGGAGTTCACTCGCAGTCTTGAAGATAGCCTCAAGGAAGAGGGTGAAACTTCGACACGTGAGCATGAACGGCGTCGGTGGGAAGATGCCTTGGGGGTTGAGGACGTCATTCGGGACTTCATCTACGACCTGCAACGAGGGAGCCGAACAGCACACATCCGTAAGGAAGAGTAAGTGACAAGACCGTATTAAAACGTACCTTAGTCGAGCTCGAAATAACAGTTGCAGGGAATCAAGAGCTTCTGCTCAAGAGCAGCGACTCCGGCACGAAGAGCCGTCCGTCGGTGTCTCTCGGTTGTCCCCTGCGCCTTCCGCTGGTTCTGCAGGTTCGTTACCGGGATCCACTCATGAGGACCGAGTGGCTGCGGCTAGAGAGCGTGCCCAAAGACGTATTGCGGAGCGCATGGCGGCTGCCGGTCTGAAACCACAGACTGATACCTCTGAAACCCTTCTGCAACGCCAGGAGCGGGAAAAGAGGGAACGAGAGGAGCGTCTAAGACGAGCAGAGGAGGAAGACGCGAAGAGAGAGCAAGAGAGACAACGTCGCTTGGCTGAGGAGCAGCGTAGCACTTCTAATGCACCTGCCAAACCTGTGGCCAAGAAGCCACCCCCAGCTCCGCCTTCACGCCGTGGCCGCACGGACAGCGCGGGCCAGGCCGAAGTGAAAAAGGCCGCAGAAGAAACCGTCGCTGCGGAACAGGCAGCCCGCGAACAGGCTATCAGAGAGGAGCAACAGGCACAAGAAGAAGAGACGAATCGCCTCGAGTAAGGCCAACCCCCCTACCATTGTCGCTTCGAGGTACATTTGGCTAACGATGCTCTCACTTTTCTGTAGGATGGAAGTTCAGAAGCGTGAGGAGGAACTCCTCAAGGAGAAAGAGGCACAAGAAGCTCGTCTCCGTGCACTGGAGGAGCAAGTCAGGCAAGGCAAGATCCGGAAGCAAGAGGAGAAGCGTCGCAAAGAAGAAGCCGAACGGTTGGCCAAGGAAAAGGAAGCCGCACTTGCAGCTCAACGCGCTGAGATCGAGAGGGCCAGGGAACGAGAGCGGCAGCTTCAACTAGAATTAGAAGGTCTCGATGAGGAGAGTTCGTCTGATGACGAAGGACCAGCGAACATCACGCCTCAGGACAGCACACCGACCCAGAGCCAATTACTCCCCACAGTGACTCCTGCGGCTCCGGTTTCTGCACCGGAATCTGAGCAGGCCGCCGGTCCCGAAGACACTTCCTCTCAGGCTCCACCTGTGAGCTTCAGCCCAGAGACAGAGTCCAAGAATCCGTACTTCAAGATAACCCACCAGGCCGCTGACACACAAGTGGTCTCTGCTCCACCCGCGCCGCAAACCAATGTCACCTCCCCCAAGGCTGATGTACACTCGACCAATCCTTTCCACCGTCTCGCACAGCAGGAGAGTTCGAAACCTGCTTTTACTGGATCCGCGCCTCTGGAACGCAAATCTCGTGCGCGTCCTGAAGCAGACGATGACTGGTCTGCTGCAGGGTCTGAGTTCGACTCGTCCGACGATGACGACGACGAGCGGCCAGGAGGTGGTAGTGCTAAACAACTCGCAAGTATTCTGTTTGGTACTATGGCACCACCACGACCTTTGAGTGCTATGGATGACAAATCGCCCTCCAAGTCGTCGACCCCAGTGCAGGACAGCCCAGTTATCTCTCCCCCGGTGCCTGAGCCCAACGGCAGCCTCTCTGCACCTGCTGCCCCTCCTCCGCCACCTCCTCCTCCCCCACCAGCGGCAGTGCCCAGCTATGATCCATCCGTTGCACCGCCCCACCTCCTGCACCACCTATGGCACCACCTGCGCCACCTCCAGGCCCTCCACCACCGCCAGCTCCTCCGGCTGCCGGTGGCCCGCCTGCGCCTGCAGGGGCACCCGATCGTAGCGCGCTCTTGGCCTCAATTCAAATGGGCAAAGGGCTTCGGAAGGTCCAAACGAATGATCGGAGCAAGAGCTCAAGTGCCGGTCGCGTGCTCGACTAGCTTCATGGCCAGTTGACGCTCGTGCCAGCAATGTATTGCAAGTGAACATCAGGGATTGTATATTGTGAATTGGAAATCCATATACCGTAGAAAGAACTTATAGCGTTATATGTTTGCTTGTCTTTCGATCTCGGTCGCCTCAATTGTAGTTACTCATAGTCGGCCAGAAATTGTATTTTCAGTCGACGTGGACTTTGAAGATAAACAGCTCATAAATTAAGCGACCGTCGGATAGACGCGCTCAACTGCAGTCGTGACCAAAAGAAAGTATGTACATACATGACAGAAGTCATTGCTCAAAATAGTAGACAGCGTTGCAAAGTAAACGTACAAGGGCCGAAGGTAGGCGCCAAACCCAAGCATGAGGAAGAGTGGTATCGAAGGAAAATCTCAAGAACAAAATTCACCAAAAGAAGGGAGAAGCCAAGGCTCAAGGCTAGTTAAGGACCTCAGCAATTACATTCCCTAACGTGCTGCAGGCCCATAAAATGATCAGACCCCAGCCAATTTTTCGATCCATTCTCCAATTATTCAATGGAACGACAATCAGCAAAAGAAGCAAAGTAGCCAGAAGTGTAGCGCCACTAATGACCAGGACCTTAGAGATAGCAATATCGTACGAACCCTGACGAGCGGCTTTCGTTTCTGGCTTCGCTTTCACAGTCATGTAAAGACCGCCCAGGCCAATTCCCAACAGGATATTTAGCATCGGTCCTCCAAAACAGGCACTCAAAGCCATGACTGGGTATCCTAGGCGGGCAACGGTAATATCGGCGACAAGATCACCAAGCGAGTTCCCCACAGCGAACACAGTAAGCCCTAAGAGGGAGTCGCTAATATTCAGAATGACCCCAAAAGTCTTGAGAAGGCCGACCACTTCCGTGGCTATGGTTGCGATCCAAAAGATAGCGACCACGAAGCCCAACATGGCCAGGAAGGGGCGCCAAAAAGAGGAAGGCCGCGAGGAGCGGCCATTCCTTGTACTCACCACAAGGCACGCAAGACATAGAAATGAGAAAAGAAGGGAGCACAAGGATGGGAGGAGCAGATTGCGGACCTTCATCTCGGGATCCATCGTAGTCCATGCGATCAAGGCGACAAAAAAGGGCCCCATGAAGAGCTGTACGCAAAGCAGCCACTGGCACCAATCTTTCGGCTGAGAAGCTGATGGGGTCGGCGGCTCGAGGGCAGGCAATTCGGAGTCCCATCGTCGCCTTTCTTGTAGCGACTGAGCTTTGCCCGCGAGCGAACCCACATCCTGATCGCCCAGATCACGGTCTAGAGTTCGAATAAGTGGACTGTCTTCCGGCAGTCTCACTCGGGGTGCTGCCGACTCTCCACCGTCCGCCGAGGGTAATACATTATGCGCGAGGTCTCCTTCAGGTTGTGCTGGTTCCACAACAGGAAGAGTAATTGTGAGTAGCAACACACTTGGCGCTGCAACGACCCCCAACAGTCGTTCTAGGAAGCTCTTGGTCTTCCAGTCAACCAAGGTCGGGAAGAGCACCGGCATAACGGACCTCGCGATGCAGCATGGGGAAAGCAGTGACCACTTTGCTGGTGATGAGGACCGATGGCCTTCATCCTCAAAGTCGTTGTCATGAACTTGCAACGTCTCTGTAGGGCTGGCAGGGGCCGGAAGACGTATGCTTGGCGCCCTTGATTGCATGGAATCGATGGCGTCTGGAAAAGGAGGAAACGGGCTGGAGGGGCTTTCCGGAGCACCTTCAGCGCCGCGCGTGGCATATGAAGTCCCTAGTGGGGAGACGTCCAGCGGGGACCGCGTAAGGGGAGAGTCCGCCTGGTAGTTTGGCGAGTGGAAGGTACCTGGTGGTGCAAGTAGATTGGGGCTGGCAGACCGGGCGGCACCTGCTATACTTGAATCCCGCGAGGGTCTGCCAGAGGATGGTAATGATAGAGTTGCCGAGGTCTGGTCAGTTTGGGATATCTGAGGCTGAAACGTCTCTTCGGTTCCGGAAGGTCGACTAACGGTCACACGAGGCTGTGGCGTACCGGAAGTGAAGACGCTGGTATCCAGCTTGAGCCCCGCAGCATCGTTGGCAGACACAGCACGAACTCGAGAGGAGCCTGCTGCACTATTCGGCGATAGAAGACGGTTGTTCCCGGAGGGTCTGCTCGTTCGGGGATGGGATGCGATTGATAAATTGTCCTGCAGTGGCGAAGGGGCGCGCGCAAGTTCTGGACTATCAAAATATCTGTCGAGCCCAATGGGTGTGCCTCGATTGATGTTACGGGACTTCTGCAGGGAAGAGAGTACGGTCTGGAACTCCAGCGCGCCAACGAGGCTGGGCCTGATGGGATTCAATGTGTTGCGCCTGCGCGTAGAGGGGCGGAATACGTGCATATTCTCACTTATCTCAGCGAGATAGCGGTTGCGCGCGTTCTCATCCTCGTCACCATCTTTCCAAGGCGGCAAATCGGATCCTTGCAATGCGTCGAAATCTTCAGTCGACGGCCCGCGGAGAAGACTCCTCGACTCCGACGCAACGCCGGGGTCGTCCTCTTCCACCTCTTCTTCGATTTCCAGCTCTTGGTTTTCCGGGATGTGGAAGTGAGCCCGTGCAGCTAAATTCCTCTCGTAGGCCCGACGGCGCCGTACAAGGTACCAGTGCCAAGTGACCACCAAGATCACGTAGAAACAATACAGGCCAACCATAGTTGCCGATTCCCAGGTATGAAGCCTTCCGTCAGCTAGAAGAACCATACTGAAGCTGACAGCAATGACGAAGTATCCCACGTCCCGGACGAAGCTCCGCCGGGCAACCTTGAACGGTTGAATCAGGGCCATGGAGCCTGCTACTACCGACGTAATGAAGCTCGCAGCACCGATCAGCTCCCCGATGGCCAAGCTACCGCTGTTTGACCTCATGGCAGCAAACGTTGAGAAGACATCGGGGCTGCCATTTCCAAATGCGAGAAATGTGACACCGGTTAAACTCTCACTCATTCCGAGAATGCTGGCCAATGTACTCAAATCTATACATAAGAAGTCGCTTGCAGCAATACCTATGGTACTGAAAAGCAAGGATAGCCACAAGACGAGGACTATGAAAGCTATAGGTTTGGCGTTCGCAAATGTGCAATAGTACAGCTGGATATATGAGAGTAATCCATCCTCAAGGTCGGAGCAATTGGCACGGACGAAGGAGCATTGATCCTTGGCTTGACGGACCAAACGACACTGTCAAAAAATAAGATTTATTAGCACGTCTGCGAAGGAAAATGTCCTGTATTCGTACCTCTGGCTCATTGTTGCTTTGCAGGAGGTCCGCTCCTCGCTTGACATGAAGCGGGGAAGATGCTGCCGAGGGATTGTTCAAGTTCCCCAGAGACCAGCTGATCACCGAAAGAATGATTAACGCCAGAAAAGCCCAATAGAACGGTCGAACAGAATAGGGACGTTTCTGACGGATCGGTGATCGTCTTGGGTAAAAAGTCAGGTTGCTTGCCATAGTGACCACTGCGGCATCATGAGCAGTAGGGAAGACGGCAGAGGAAGAAATTGCGGGGGATCATCTACCGATTGGAACTATATAAGAAAGGACGAGAAGGCAGCAACACAACGGACTGAGAAACGAAGATCCAGACCGTCTGTAAATGGATGGTGGTGGTGGATGAGGCAAGATCGGGCTGGTGGAGGGACGATGGACATGTCTCCATGTCCTACGCAGCCCATCATAGATAAGCAGATGCGGACGGATAAGGTACCTACAGAGATAGAACACGTCTTCACGGCAGCCGACGAGTGATGTCAAGCCAAAAAGCTGTTGGTGGTGTGGCTGTGTTGTGGCGGAGGCGGTGCTACAGTGACCAAAGCATCATGTCACTCCCATAGTCATTCATAAAGGGGAATCTCGCTTGGAGCAAAGTCCACTAGGTATTATAGGAAAGATATCATGGCTTAAAGATAATCTATACTAGAGTGTGATCTACATATCTACTTGTTGTATCTAGGCAGGCATCATGAAAGTCTGGAGTATGAAGAGGTACATAAAACGTACCAAGAATATTTTACGAGAACGACTCAGTGAAATACAGACGGTACTGAAATAACCTAAGGTAATGCGCTGAATCAGTCTGTTTTATTACACACTAGGTCAGGTGACTCTGTGCCTACCCCGATGAGGCTAGTTATTGCACAAGTGGTTGCTCTGGCCTGGCGTATGTTTTTGTTGATGTTGTTTGTTCTTGTCTGGCCAAAAGAGGAAACCAGCACGAAAAGAGGAGACCCAGCGCCATCACATCACACACCTGGACCGTCGAAGCCCGTGGATGTATCATCAAGAAATGAAGCACAGCTTTTGAGATCGCTAATATCTTTTCTACTCCTCTGATCTTCCCTCATTTTCTGTCAATCTTTTTCTGAACACCAGGTGGCCATCCATTATCCCTTACTGCTGGGGTAACCATTCGCCATGCCCCGCGTAGCAAATCCTAAACATCGCCGCTCAAATGGCGCATCAACGCCTCACAAAAACTCGCCTATGAAGTAAGAACTCAAACTGAATGGCGCTTTAGGATGCAAAGGACGAGACGATATTGACAAGCTCAGGATCCCTTTGAACGATGACACAGGGGAGAAGGCCGCCCGTTTGGAAGCCCGACAAGCCCGCCATGACCGCCAGATGGATCAGATCAAGGCTGCCGTCAAGACGCCAATGCCTCCTCGACGATACACATATGACCGCGCTTCGAGTATGAGTCCTGGTACCCCTAGGGGATCAGGACACCGCGGACGAGAGAGCGACGCTGATGGACGACGAGCGGTGACCCCGATGAAACGGGTCCCTATCTTGGCAAACTTCGAGGAATGGATGAAGATGGCCACGGATAACAAGATCAATGCGAACAACTCCTGGAACTTTGCTCTGATTGACTACTTCCATGATATGTCTCTACTCAAGGAAGGCGATGGTGTCAACTTTCAGAAGGCCAGCTGCACGCTCGATGGTTGCGTAAAGATTTATACGAGCAGAGTGGACAGCGTCGCGACGGAAACAGGTAAATTGCTAAGTGGGCTGGCGGACAGCCGTGAGAAGCGAGGTCGTGACACTGGCGCGGACGGTGAGGGTGATGACGAGGACGACGAGGAAGGGGAAGATGGAACCACTAGAAAGTCGCGGAGAAAGGTACGGAGAACAGTATACCCGCTTCAGTGACTTGGAACCCGTCTGATTCTGACTTCACCAGGCCCAGAGAACACACGAGGCTACGCTTGCACCTTCTTTTGCCGCGCTTCAGTTGAAAAAGTTTGAGCTCGAATTCTCAGTTGACCCGTTATTCAAAAAAGCCTCCGCAGATTTCGACGAGGGAGGGGCAAAAGGCTTGCTCCTGAACCACTTGTCAATAGATGGGCAGGGACGTATCGTGTTTGACAGCAGCGACGACGCTGTTGAGGAAAGCCCGAATGACGCGAACAATACTCGCGAAGACTCGGAAGACCCTGAAAACCCGAAATCGTCTTCACCGGCTCCAAAGCGATCTTCTGATGATGCTTTTGAAGACGTTGAGATTGATATAACGCCACTAGCGAACCAATTTTTCCCCGATTTGGCGCGCCTCGATGAGCAGGATATCTGTCCGTCCCTCAAGAACTTCGACCTTGGCGATCCCACTGGATCACTCGATATTCCCTTTCTCAAGGCGCCTGAAGAATGGCGCAACGAGAAAGGCAACGAGGACGGACGAGGCGTAAACGATGCCTCCGGGATCATGCTCGACGACGACAACGCTGTCGGCTTTGATGACGACGATGGTACTTTAGCTGGATTCGATCTTAGTGAAGATGCCGGTTTTGGTAATGGGGGTGAGGCGTGGGCCCGTGAGGCTGCCCTGGAGCCAATGCTGAAAGTCCATCGCATTGACCGTGATGGCGATCAGAATCAGGACGGCGACGAGGCAATGGACGATGAAGATGGGTATGCTATATCGCTTACTCATCAACCAGAGAAGCGTGACCATGAGAACATTCTCAGCTATTTTGACAATGCCCTCCAGAAGAACTGGGCGGGTCCTGAGCACTGGAAGATCCGGCGTATCAAGGAACACGCGGCTGCAAGTTCTGCAACTGCAGCGCCGAAGCAGCGGAAGGAAAAGGAGCCGTTTGAAATCGACTTCGCGGCACCTCTCGATCCAACCGTCGCTGAATTGATTTATACCCCGGCTAGTTCCAACTCCACCATTTCCCTGCCCAAGACACAGTGGAGAACCAAAGGGCGGAATTTGCTACCAGACGACAAACACTTCAACTCCAGACAGCTACTCCGTCTCTTCCTCAAACCTAAGGCTCGCATGGGCTCGAAGAAACTGGTGGGCCTACGTCAATTCAGCAGCCGACGACAGGACCGTACCGCGGTTAATGGGGAAATGGATGAGGCCTTCTGGGCCAGTCGTAAGCAGGAGGAGGAAGCGGCTGCCGACGAGGGTGCTGCCCCTGGCGCGTATGATGCCGACTTCTTCGCGGACGACGATGGTCTCGCGTTCCCGAACGGGCTCGGTATCGCCGACGATGACGACGACAACCTGCCCTTTGCAGATGCGCGAGAGATGCTGTCCCCACCAGCTGACGGGGCTCCAGGCACAACAGCAGGGGATGCAGGAGGAGCTACGGGTATTGCTGCTCTCCTCAACATGGTAGGGGCGACGCCCAGGCCGGGCGCTGGGGGCTTTGGCTCACAGTTGGTGACACAAGGCGGACGGCGAGCGCGACCTGAATACGTCGCCTATGCAAGAGTCGCCAAGAAAATCGACGTGCGGAGACTGAAACAAGAGATGTGGAAGGGCATGGGCGAAAGGTTGATTGCATCCACAGAATTTGATTCCACACCACGAACAAGCGCTGGGAACGATATCAATCAAGTACAAAATAATGAGACCGAGCCTGATGCACCGCCAACACCCACACCCCAAAGACCGCAGCCGGTCGACGGCTCGGAAGAACCGAAGGAAGACCGTCGATTACGATTCACGCAGATTATGAATTCCCTCAAAACGGTCTATCCGCCAGAGAAGCTTCGTGACATCAGCACCTCCTTTGGCTTTATCTGTCTTCTTCACTTGGCCAACGAGCAAGGTCTCATCTTGCAAAACGACGGTCAGTCCGAGGGCGTTGGCGCGGGCTCATTAGAAGAGATTTATGTTGCCAAAGACGCGAATGCTGTTATTGACGAAGCGTCTGCTTGAATCGATCATTTGATGGTCCACCCTGGATAAGCGTCAGGGGACGAAGATGCTGTATATTCTTGAATACCTTGTTCATTCAGGATGCTACGAAGTGCTACTTGAGGAATTCTCGCAGATTATGGATTGGGATGGGGGATACACTTGGGGAGTTGGTGGAATTTATATCGTTATTTACCGCAGGTTTTCACCCAATTGACCTTTTTGATGATGAATCTCCGTCTTCATATTTATGACCTTTGAGAGATCGGTGCCAAGTTTTGCAATGGCACTCATAATTGCTCAAGTAAGATGATCAATTGGGATTGATAGTCTCGTCCACCGCACGACATAGGACATAGCCTTGTCGAGGAGTACCTGGAGAGACCTGCGTTGGAGCACACGCAACTACATATATGGGGCTTGGATAGATGGTCATTGCACTCAATCTCAATATGATTGAAACAATCAGTAGAAAAGGAGATGTTAAAGGAATGATAAGCAATGCATAGTGGTATATAGAATGTAGAAACGGACAGATGAGACGAGACTAAAGACAGGAGCATTAATCATAGCATACCATCCAAGAGAATAAGTATTCCAATTTTGGATCGGTTCGCAGAGTCCCGTAACTGGGAAACAACGGAGAGTTGGAAATAGAATTCCGGGTGAAACAGTAGGCTTTGTCAATGAGAAGTGCTAATAAATACAACCTCAAGCGACCACTGCGGCGTAGCGAACCATTCTCAGGAGTGTTTCTTTTTTTGCTGGGTTTTTCTTTTGTTTTTTGTTTTTTTGCCCAGCCATTATTGTTGATCAATGGTGAACATTCTGAGGGAAGTTGGGACTCATGGGGCTTGTGTATGCTTCCGGGATAGGGACGGCCTCGTAGGTCCGCTCGCCAGGGGCGGCAGTCATGTGCTCATTGATATTCTGGGCTGGAGCCGGCGCCGGGAATTCTCCTTGGTCCATCTTTGGAGTCGCCTGCTGTACACGGATGGGAGGCGGCTGCAGCTGGAACGTGGGTTTGGGCTTCGTCGGCGACCGGGGAGTTGCGAACTGCGTCGAGTACATCTCCCCGTTCTCGGCGGCCGAGTAGGAATCCTGGGTCGGTTGGACGGACGTGAAGGGTGACTTGGGCATGTTGGCGAAGCCGGGGGTATTGGGGGCAGATTGCAGCCGGAGCTGGGCCAAGTACAGATCCGACCTGGCCTTGTCACGGCGGTTCATTGACTTTGCGAGGCGTCGCTTGGTGTAGAACCGGTAGAAGACAACCGCATAGATGAGAATGACCAGGACTTCAATCACGACCTCGATGATGGCGCAAACCAAGCCCCAGTCCTGGGAGTTGTTCCAGTCAGCCTCGTTGAAGACTAGTTGGGAGAAGGAATTCCAATTACCTGCAGACGGCACAGCAGCGCGTAATCGATATCGTTATGGAACAATTGCTCTCGAAGGTTCTGCTTGCACGACCAGCCCCAAAGGTCCTGGCCATTGCCGTTGGCCTTGGAGTTCTGATAGATAGCAGCTGCGACGATCCACATGATTAGACTGAATGTGAAGAAGCAGACTGAGAAGATTGTGTAGTACACTGCGATCTTCTCAGCGCGCTTGTGGCCACCCTTCCAATACGCCCAGAAGACAAACAGGCACGAAAACAGGGAGATGCAAGCCAATGTCAGAAGGAGATACTGCGGCCATGGGTTCGTCCCTTTGGCCCAGGGGGGTAAATTGTTACGAGGAGGAAGATGTTTCGACGCATGGAATATCGTCAGAGTCGTTGCCAGGATAGTGAGCACGATCAGACTGCAACCGAAGTTGACAAAACGAAGGAATATCTTGGCGAAACGCACGCGTAGTTTGATTCGCTGCGAGCAGTATGTGAGCATTGATGATCAGGAGAAGTTTGCTGATTCTTGGGGTCCGCTTACCAGGTCTCTCGCATTCTCCTTCTCAGTGACCTTTTCTTGCTTCTCCACAAAGAATTCTTCCCGGAAAGTAGGACTCAGGGGATTCAAAGTCCGCCCAGGAGTGCCTGGGACCTTGAGGGCGCTCTTGAGAGGTGATGCTGGAGGAAGCTGATGCGATGCATGCTGAGCAGGATCGCTAGCTGCGACATAACCAAAGCCGACGTCAGACACATCGGGCTGACTTTGTGAATGACCCGGCGGGTCCGCGAACGGAGACGTAGAAGCACCCCTGGCTTCGGTAGGGGAGTGCACCGATGTTGCCTCCGCGAATCGAGCGGTGCGAGGACTCCTGAGTGACGAGGAAACAGAGGATTCAGAGGAGCTTCGCTCCGTCCGACCTCCTCCACCCGGTTGCGAAGAGGCTGTCATTGGGAAGTGATTGTGACCACGCACGATATCGACGGGAGAAACAGCTTCGTAGGTGTGAGGAGAATTGCTCTGGCTCTCACTGGAGACCGACATTGATGAGCCAGGTCAATACAGGAGTAAGATGATTGACAAGTCCAGCAGAGGCCAAGAGAACCAGCTCTCAACCTTGGATAAGACAGGTGTTTGCCCCTGGCGTTTTCGGAAACCGTGTTTGCTAAAGTACGAATACACAGCCAAACGGTGAGCTGCGGTCAATGTGTAGGCTCAGACCTGCTGTTGACTAGTGGAGGAAGGCTTCCATTTGCTGCAAATCTAAAATCAGTATTACACTCATCGAGCAGCATCACAGATGATGAGAAGCGAATATCAGGGGCCGAAAGCGAGGTCAACACTCACTTGATAGTTAAGTCAATCAGACAGACGATAATTGCAAGATCCGTCTATACAGAGAATTAGCCTCTGGAGCGTTCTTCATGAATAGCGAAGACGACTCACCGTAAGAGTAGTTGACTTTGAGTGCTCTGTTCACTTCAAGTGGTACCGGCACAGCTTCAACTTCTATACTCAACCGATGCAGTAGTAGCAGCGGCAGGAGAAGGAAGAAATCGATTGATTGAAATCAGATTGGCGTGATCGCCCCGAATATCAATTATGAGCTCTGGGGCTGGCCGTCATCTTCGCTCGAAGTTGGGCGGGGGAACCCATCTTTAGGTTGATTCGATCCGGGCCGTGTGAAGGCGCAAGTGTGAGCGCTTAGCATCATGCAGCACAGTCAAGGCCGACAGGAGTGATTGGAGGAAAGCTGATGCCGAGTAAAGTCAGGGACGCGCCCAGATAGGTGTAGGCTAATATGTCGAAGGAACAAAAGTGCACGATGAGGAGGTGACTGGATGCAGAGCACACTCACTAGCGCAACAGCCCTGGCTTATCACAGTGGAGAGGACCAAAGTGTGCGTTAATCCGGCCTTTTATCTACCACTGACGATGCAGGCCGTGTCACAAGAAGAGCGAATGAGACGAGTCATCATCGCACCTGGTGTGGTCTCTCTTCGTCTCCCTTTCGACACTTCCCCGGCGCCAAAATTGATCGTCTCTTGCGCAACCAACCATGGTGGCTGCAGAACCGCTGTCAAAGTCCATCTACTGCCACCTGTCTCCTCGTTAGGCTCGTCCAACTGTCTAGCCGCTCGTCCAGAGAATCCATCATATTAATTTCTGCATCACGACCATGGTATGATGCTGCTTTCGATCGGGTTTGCTGTTCTATATCATTAAGTACTAGATTCCAAATGTGCACTAAGCGCCCATGATTTGGTCAACATCGATCGCATCCATGGTCCGTCAGCTTATTGATTCAACAATCAGAGAATGCACATGTTCATTCTCAAAATTATATATAATTAATGAGGACATGAGTCCTTCTGTACTTTGAAAGCTGACACTCAGGATTCTTGGTTATTGGCAGTTTCTCTTCAGGCGACATACTTAACCGCAACTAACCCAGTTGGCATCTCTCTTGCTAGAGGCCTCTCAGAGCTGTAGTGGCTTGCTTACCTTTTAATACTTCTTGATTGGGACTGAGTATGTACTTTTCGGCTCATGACCGCTCGTCGAATCTTGAAAGGATGATTCCAGCCAACTTGGGTGAGAGCTATGGGGATATAAAGTAATAATGCGAGGCATTTACCAGCAGAGGTACCTTACATACTAGTATGAAATGTACCAAAGTGGATGAAGATGGTCCATGCCGAAGTTTCCACGTGATGTCAGGTCATGAAGCTCGCTGCAGTGGTTGTCGAAGAACATAAGATGGCTGTAATCAATAACGTGGATACGCCGGACTGTGTAAGTTACATATTATATAACAATGTTGATGCTGAGAAGTGGACATCGGGATAATGACATGTACTAGAGTACGTGCAAGATATATTTGGAAGGTGGATCGAAGACTGGGGCGCTGTCTACGGGACGCAGGAGGTGATCGCCTAAGGTAATGAGGAGGAGCCATTGAGGCGTGACTTGTGAGTCTGGTATTGTAGGACTATCATCTTGCACATATTAATAGAGAGGGACGGCAGTAAGAAGTTATGAACTAGATAGACACTTTATGAAGATACTGTTGCCCCGGAGTTTCAGGACAGAGTGTACAGCCACCTCAAGGGATGCCCCACTGTCTGCTAAAAATCAAATCAGGTTTGACTCGTCTTTACACTATGATCACATTGGTTCGCCAGCCACACTGCTCTAGGGATGGATTCAGCCTCATCTTTTGAAATCGGGCTTATTCTGTCCCAGTGCCACTGACAGAGGTGTGGATGCATGCGCACACTGCAATGTAGATAGGGGAGAAAAAAGGTACAGCCAGAGTAAAGAGGTACACTTACATGCGGAGTAAGATGGACATTGATGTCATTCTCGCTGATTCCCGTCGAGTTTCTACGGAACAACCGTACCAGTGGATACCTACGCCGTCCTGTGTCGATGGATACGCGGCTCTAGAACATGGCTGTGCTGCGTCTTCAAATTCCTCCACAATATCTAGGCAGACATCGCTCTTTCCATTCCTCCTAATGAACAAGCTTACGAATCATCGCAAAACAGAAGTTAATTCCCTTAACTAGTAATCTCACATAATTCGAAACAGGGTAGAATATTCTGGCATAACCACTGAAAGGAAGACTGTCACGTAATCCTTGGCGTCAGGAATTAGCCTTAGGCATAAACTACCTACCTGACAGTACCTTACATCATTACATCAAGGTGTCAGACGGAGATACCACTGATCCGGTACGTCGGCACACTGAATCTCGACCCAGCAACTTCAGAGCCCCAGCATCCATACGGTAACCCAAATACGTACCTTTCCCCCTCTCCAGCCACTTTTTGTCCCTTGGATCCTCGTGTTCGCCTTCAGAGAGAGACACTGAGAGACCGAGAGAGAATCTATCTCCGCTTTCTACTGTAACAGTAGCCAAAACATCAACCCAGCAACACTAACCTTTACCTACCAATCCATCGATCCATCGATAATCCATCAATTGATCATTCATTCTTCGATTCATTCGGTCCATCAGTCATTCCATCTTTCTTCCTCCTCAACCATCTACTACCATACTGCAACAACAACAACTACTACTACTAAAAAACGGAATATATTGGAATCCGCAACCATCCTGAATTGTCGCTGTCCAAGCTATCCCTTCTGTCAACCTAAGGCCTCCGATTAAATCCTTCTCTTCCCTTCCATTTTTACGCTACTTTTGTCCTGTGCACTGCATTGTCCCCCGATTTCCTTCCTCTCCCTTGCCTGCCCTTGTCTGTTTCTGGTGGACAATTTATGCGGTATTGCTGTTTTGTACATCTGAAAGGGGTCAATCCGCCTGCACGACATTCGTTTCCATTGTATTTCAAATCAGTCGTTGCTTCGAGCTTTATTTACAGCCCAAATAAGCATTCTCCATTCCGCCTGCACGCCCGCCACACTCTTCAAATCTCTTCCCACCCGATGGGTTAGCCGAATCCTGATAGAGATTTCAGCATCCATCAGAGGCGCTCATCCGGCTTGCAAGGCTCAGTCACTATTTTTACACTGCCACCGGGTCCATACTTCTCATCGTGGGGTCCCATATCGTCTGACAAGGCGTTTGCGAAAGCTGAACTTCCCACACCCGTCAGCTTGCGCCACACTCGGTTCCAGGTGAGCGCCCCACGCGACGGTGCTTCTCAATATAATGATATTACTCGTCGTTCTGTGCTACTTGACTCTTGTTCTTGGGATATCATCTTCCTTTGGTCGAAGCCTTTTTGTCTCGTTCAATGGACCCCTTTTACTGCCTGCCGACTTGAAGATCCCTTCGTTCTTCCTGTAGCCGTCGTACTCAAAAGAGATATCCATTCACTGACATGACTTCCGTGCAAGTAGCTTTCCCGTTCATTCGTCATCCGTTTCCGGCTGGCAACAAGCATCTGTTATCCATGGCTGCATTGACGCAATCGACTAACGAGCCGGTTGCCATCTCGAATCCCTTGTCCGGAACACCTAGCTCGCTCATCTTGAGCCCGCCCGAATCCGTCGCGTTTCTGAAGCCATCGAAGCAAGATTCGAGCTTGACGTCCATCGCCAGCGCCGGACTAAACGTCTCGAGGTCGAGGGACTCGTTACCCCAGATGTCCACCACTGCACCAACAGACGGTCCGATGGACCGACCACAGGACTCGGAAAAGGCGGCCGAGCAGGACAGTTCGCTGGTAGCAAGAGAGGCTCTGGGTGCTAGCGAAAAGCAAAATGTCGGTTCCATCCACGACTCCATGCCCATGTCGTCGGACCATATGCAAGTCGATTCGGTGCATACCTCGGGCAGCGTCCCCGATAATTTTGGTACTGCCGATAACGGCTCGACCCTAATGGCCGCTCCGACTGTGGCTAGTCCGGGCCCCATAGAGGATTCTACCTCTCAGGACGGTGATCGCCCGCGCCATCGAGACGACACAGATATGCAGGAGAGTAGTAATAAGGCTTTCTCTTACCCAATGCCTACGGGCCATCTCGGCGATGCCCGCCGGGGTCTCAGTCTACCCAATTCGGGGTTCCAAAAAAGCGGCCAGCGATCACCGTCGGCCAAAAAACATCGTTGTCCTTACTGTGCCACCGAGTTCACCAGACATCATAACCTCAAGAGCCATCTTCTCACCCACAGCCAGGAGAAGCCGTACGTATGTCAGACTTGCCAGTCGCGCTTTCGGAGACTCCATGATCTCAAGAGACATACAAAGCTTCATACCGGAGAGCGTCCACATATCTGTCCGAAGTGCGGGCGTCGGTTCGCGCGCGGTGATGCTCTTGCTCGACATAATAAAGGTCAGGGCGGCTGCGCCGGTCGCAGAGCCAGTATGGGCAGTTATGCTCCAGAGGATGATTATGGTGAGGGCGCTGTTCCCCCCGGTGCCGAAGATACCATGGACGGTCTCGTCTATGCCGAACCGGAGCGAATGGATGAAGAGGATGAACGCCGACTCAACATGCCCAGCATCAAAAAGCACGATGCCCCCTCAGATTCTATTCCACGCTCTCACTCTGGCAGCAGCTACCAACCGCGTCAGCCAAATACATACCCTCCAATAGCTGCCGGCAGACCCTCCCCAGGAGGATTATTCCCTCCTCCCACAAGCCACGGTGGGTCTAGTGCGTCGACATCACCCGTTTCTCAATCCGGGAATATGACTTTCCCACCGCCAGGGCAGCCTTCGGGTGCGTCGGTGTTTCAGTCTACCAACGTGACCGAGAGCCCAAGGCCCCTTTCACCAAATGCTCTTACCTCGCACCAAGGCGGACATGGTCCGGAGGGCAGTAGTATCCAGTTGCACCGTTCACACTCTCCCGGTATGTCGCAGCCATTCCAGCAGCAACCCTTCAGCCGATCCGGACCGTCCCAGGGACCCGTTACGAATCATGCCGCTCCTGGCTTGGGACTTCCTCCCCCTCAACCCGGCGCCCCTCAGCTGCCTCCTCCACCCGGGATGGGCCCCTCGGATACGCGGTTCTCCCTTCACAATCCAGGCTCTGTGCAGCCGCCGCCGCCGTCGGCCGCTACAAAACACGGATCTTCCCTCGGTCATTCTACCAATCACAGTGGATCCCTGTCTTCGAAAGCTGGCCTGGACGCTACAGGCAATGGTACTCATCTTCCCGGACCACATGATCCCAGCTTTGTAGAACAAGGCAGAGATCGGGAGGACAAGCTTTGGGCCTACATCCGATCAGTCCACGAAGAATTGGCGGGGTTGAAAAGCGAAGTGGCTGCTTTACGATCCCAACTTGCTTCGTCAAATGCCAGCAACCTAGCGCCTTCGAATACAAGCGCCGCATCGGCTCAACCCGAGAGCAGTTCCGGTAGCACTGCACAGCGATGACTGATATGCACTCATCTGTTATTGGTCCCCGAACTTTCATATGATGTCCCTTGTTATGTCTAATAGCCCCCCGTCGTGCCCAAAGGTTCGATTACTACCTCTCAACCGTCTCGTTGCTCGGAGTTCAGATGTCTTTGACGACAGATCATCCCATGTCTACACGAAGTTTGCTGCCGAGCAAGGCTGGTAAATCTAATTCGCCGAACTCCTTCTTTTCTTCCCTTTCATTCGTGCTTCTGATTACCACTATCTCACCTACGTCTCGTCTTTGATTTCTTAGCCTCTATAATATTCATTTCACCATTTACGTGACGGTGTTCGCCATGTCGAAAGTTGCATAACGCTGGGTATGATGGTTTGTCTCCACTTTGGCTGTACTTTGCGCTATCTTGTTTCATAACATACTCTTCTTCTTCCGCGTTTGTCTTCCCGGGGTCTATGGCGCAGGGGTAAGGAGTTAAAAATTCGTCCTTCTGGTCTCCTTGGTCTGGAAGCTCATGCTGGCAAAATCCGTCACAAATTCATTCGTTGGGCCACATAGGTACTTCTGCCCGTCTGGGAGACGTTTCGATTGAGTTCTGTATTTGTATTCGCTTTCTTCTTGTACTTGGAGAAACTCAGCACCGGCTAGTCCTCTGTACCCATCTATGGCTGCAAGGAAGTCCAAAGGAGTAGCACAGCAGGAGTGCACTATCAGACATCGATCTTAGATACGGTTAACGGCATTCCACTACTATTTATCATTCCATGCGGGGTTCAAGCTGAATCTGATATATTGCTTCTCTGTTGGTCTGTCCAACTGATGAAATACCCCACGTCGGCTACGATTGCCTTGGCGACTCCGCCCATCGTCCAGCTTCGCTGTATCCACCGCGGAATCGCCCCGCCTGCATCCGAAGTGGTCGCCATCGTCCACTCCAGCTGATTGGCATCACCAGTCCTGCCCCTCGCGTCTGGGTTAGAGGTCACCGCCGGTGTGGGCACTGACACGACCTGTTCCACGCTGGCATAGGATGCAAAAACCGCGTTCCTGGGCGCGGCGGATGCAACCTTCTCCCGTATCTCGTGGGGAATTGCATCTGTAGGTTTCGACGCGAGAGGGATCTGAACCGTCATGAATGCCTGACGGTCGAAGTTTAGTAAGTCGGCAGAGATGACTAGGCTGATGAAGGTGCGGGGGCTATCAAGGCTGTTGGGTGGAAAGTATGGGTGATGATATTCACTGGCTGCACGTTAGTGGCTTGCCATTAGATGCGTGGTGCATAGACCTGGGTGTCTTGGGTGTATGTAGAATAGATTAACGAAGCAAAAGATACACCCTGCCGGAGACAGGATGCAAATACAAGGAGCGCATTCTCGATGTACGAGTCGCACACGATTACACACAAAGCAAATCAGCTCACAAGATCAAGATCTCAACTCACCATGCATTCCGACCTGCCTCCAACCCCCTCGATCTCCCCTCGGTCGGCCACTCCAACAACCTCTCCACAGAAGTCACACTAGGCGTATACGCCATCTCATTCTCGGAATGATTCTCCCTCAAACCCCTGCGGAACTCCTCCCACGAGGCCGAGCCGGCCACTGCCGCATCTCGGTGTACACTCTTCCGGCATGCCCAGAATTCCTCCTCTCCTCGGACACTCCCGCGCCGTTGCGGATGGTGCGCTTGAGGAGCTGGACCTTGGCTGTGGCGGGTGGGGAGGAGCGTAGTTTCGGGTCTACCTTGAAGGTATACGGGATGGTGTCTGTGAGGAGAGAGTGGGCTTCGGATAGGGCTGTTTCGAGGAAACTGTGGAGTGGTGGACGAGGTGACGATGGGGATGCGTTGAGGGAGGGGTGAGCGGGAAGGGAGGAAAAGGGGTGTGGGGAGAGGCGGATGAGTGGTGTTGACACTGTGGACTTGAGATTTGAAGATTCCATTTTAGATTACCTCAATATTATGGAGCTGGAATGGCAAGCTAGCTAGGTGAGCTAGATGATAAGCTCCGCGAGCTCCTGAATAGTAAGTAAGCTGTGTGCTGATCATTCTTGAGTTGCCAGATGTGGATCTCGAGCCTGCGGGTAAATTTAGACTATGAGTCGAGAAGCCGTGGCGTGAGCAAACATGTCTTGTATTCTATAGTGACTTCTATCTCAAACCTAACTAGGGGTATATGAAGGGGCTCGAGACGCTTTTCAGTACTCGAGCCTCGACAGAACATGAAGCACTCCAAAGACCGTACCTACGGCTCTTTATGAGCTTTGATACGTCTTCACCATGTCAGAAGAACGGCCAGGGTATCGATACGTTCGCCCAAATCATCCAGCACGGCACGGCGTCCGTCAGCGAAATATTCTTCGTCGGATCGAACCTCCCGGGCCTCGAACTGCGCAATCGCGCTATGGTTCGTCTTCCGTAGTGGTGTCGATATTGGACGACGTGTATATATGTGTGCTTCAATGAGGTGAAAGCGGGTGGAATTTCACCATCGCACCCAGTTTCATCCACATTGCACGACTTTCTCTACAAAGGAAATTCATAGAGCGCGTACTGCAGGCCCAACACTTCCAGTATCGAAGATCTCAATTAACCCGGCCCCCAGAGTTTCCTCCAGAGCCCAGCGAAACTTCATGCCATAGAGCTCTTTCCACTTTCTCGTCTTTCCTGGAAGTATGCCAGCGAATTCACCTCGCACGCGCTTCGCAACGCTGAAGCTCTTATCCGTTTCAACCGCGCCATCCCAGCGATCGCGCAGAAGATAGACGGGGGCCTCGCCAGAACTGGATTTGTTGAGAAGAGCAAGGAGATGTTTCCGACCAGCTCCGAGAAGTCGAAGATATGGCCCAGTGTTGGGAAGTGACAGAAAGAGGGCCGCTGTCTCAAATTGTGACTGATGCTGGCTATCCCGAGTGTCGCAGGACTGACCGTCACTACCACTCCGACTAGCAGAAGCAGGAGTAGAGGATGGAAGACCGGGAAGCGATGCGACACCCGTGGAAACTTTGACGAGAGAGGACGATGACACCAAAAATCCGGCGCGAAGCAGTTCCATACGCTCTGATTGGGAAAGAAGCGATGCAGGTATAGCCGAAGTGTTTCCGATCTGGCCGAGAACCTGAAGGAATTTATCTGCGAGCAGATCAGTAAGAGCAAGGCAGACAGGTGATACGGCAGGACGCCATTCACTTACCCTTAACTGAGGCCTCCAAGACACTGCTTTCCCGCACCAGCCTTTCCCAATCCTCTGTTAGAACTAGGCAATCGCCAAGCCCCGCCGCATCATTCCCTCTTCCTGGGACGATCAAGCGACGAACACGACCGGCATTGACCAGTTCCACAATCTCTTTCTCCACTTTCGTAGGCGCATCCATCAGAGTGTGAACATGAGCCACTGAGGCTAGAGGGGGTAGCGACCGGCGTAGATTAAGTACTTCAGCAATGCGAGTACTATTCATGCCAGCGCGAGCAGGGATATCCTCGAACATCTTGTCGCGAATGTATTGGATGGCCTGAATCACATCCTCGACGGCGGCGATCTGTGACACATAATGAGAACTCCCAAGGTCAGGAAGTGAGCCCTGATCGAAATCACCCGTGTACAGCTCATCTAGCTGATCGGGCTTGGAAGGACGGGAGGATTGAACGGCGGCTTTCTGGCGAGCATGTCCGGCAAAAGGGGAGGCGCGAGGTTTAAACGCGGCGGGTCTCTTTTTCTTTTGAATACCAGATACCGGAGCAGATGTGATCCGTAATGGCATGGCCCAGCAAGAAGAATAGAAGGGAAAGACTGCGGTTTTAGAATCCTTTCAGGAAGAGATGTCGTTCAAGTTTTTGGATGCCCTCGAGTGATACGAAATTTCTGCCTGAGGTTTCCCATTCCATGTGATGATAAGAGCCGATTTATCAGCACGTGACAAATACCCCTCACTATCCGAACCGCTTTTGAATCTACATTTCTGGGCCAATCAGAGCGCAGCCTATGGTTTGCATGATGACAGACGAACCAACCCAACAAGGATCGATCACCTCAGCCAATACGAAATGGTTGATCAGTCGGCACGACAAAAGATCTTAGTTTAATCAGAGAGATACTTTGTAGATCACTGTCAATAGTCCAAAATTTTTCTAGACAGGGCCGAAGCCACCCTGGGAAGGGAAAAAAGAGATACATCCTTCTTCTCACCCTGGATTCTCTTGTTTTTGCCATTGCTTATCAGGTTTTTAGTGGCCGTCCCACTCCTGCTGGGTTCTTCCGCCTTAGGCCTCACCTTTTTCTCACATGACGTAGCCATGAGAGAAGGCCCTTTTTGTCCAAGTTGTGACAAGTACAACGATCCGTGGTAGAATAGAACCAGCTGTATCAACCCAGCATTCAGGGTGCCTTTTCCTTGTCGCCGTGTCACTTCTTCTATATCTTCTATGACCCTTTGTTCATCAACTGCAGTTCGAGCACTATTCCTTTCCACTTCCTGCAGCCCCTCCTTCGCCATTCCCTTTGACATCCCTCCTCCGCCATTTGCTTTAGAGCCCGTATCAATCAGCAAAGATGACGATCTTCATCGCTTCATTGTATGTCGATTATTCTCTCCTACTGTCACTGCTGCGCTGACGTATTCGATCTGCCAGATTCCTACCGTACACTGTGAATTTTCATGACAACGACTCTGAAGATCCAGCCGGTGCTCTAACGAGCCCTCCCGTATCGAACCCTCCATCCCAGGCTGTGACCCCAACACCCAATGCTGCTATCAGCTTGTTTGAACGACAGAATGGTGCTAGAAAGGCAGGCCTGACGCCTGGGGCTACAACTGATCATGAGCGAATATTCACATCGGACATTACAAAGGCAGAGCAGGAACCCCCAAGCTATCCATTTCCTGCTGTGCTGGATGATGCAAATCTTCTCACCGAAAGTGAAGCCCATTCTCCCGCCTGGGGTGCCACCACAGCTCTGAACCAGCCCAGGGCTCGGCCGCCTATTTCACCCTCCCCTTCGATCCTTAAACACCAGGAGCCCACTGTCTCTGTTTTGGAGCCGATTCGCGAAAAGACACCATTGAAAATCGAACCCTTCCGGTCGCATCCCCCGGGTAAAGCCGAGGATCGCAGCCGCAAAACTTCGTTCTCGAAGGCCGAGTGGACCGTCGAAACAGCAGAGCAGGGTAACGGCGGGTTGCGTAATGCGGTGCGATCTGCAACGGATGCAGGCCAATTGGAAGACAAAGTGTGGGTTGGCACGCTAGGTATGCCCACGGATGCCTTGTCGCCGCACACCAAAGCTGCCATCGCCGAGAAGTTAGAAGATGAGTACGGATCGTTGACGGTCTATGTCAGCGACGGCGACTTTGACGGTCACTACACTCATTTCTGCAAGACAATCCTCTGGCCTGTGTTTCATTACCAGATCCCCGACAACCCGAAAAGCAAAGCATATGAAGACCATTCCTGGATTTATTATGTCAAGACCAACCAAGCGTTCGCGGAGCGCATTGCGAAGAATTGGAAACGCGGCGATTCCATCTGGGTCCAGGACTACCACCTGCTCCTTGTTCCCGCGATGCTTCGGAAATTGCTCCCGGATGCACAAATCGGTTTCTTCCTGCATATAGCTTTTCCTTCCTCCGAAGTCTTCAGATGCTTGGCGCCTCGAAAAGAACTTCTCGAGGGCATGTTGGGCGCTAACCTTATTGGGTTCCAGACTGATGAGTACTGCCGACATTTCCTTCAGACCTGTAGTCGCATCCTTTGCGTCGAGGCAACCAACGAGGGACTCGAGCTGGAGGATCGCTTTGTTAACGTGGGTACATTTCCCATCGGTATCGATCCAACCTCCTGGGACAAGCGACGACAAGCGGCCGATGTGGAACAATGGGTGAAGACAATCTCGGAGAGATATGAAGGAAAACGTCTTATCGTTTCCCGCGACAAAATTGACTCAGTTCGCGGAATCAGGCAAAAGCTTCTGAGCTACGAGCTCTTCCTAAACACGTACCCTGAATGGAGAGACAAGGCAAGTACATTTTTGGCTACTATATGCGCCTTTATGCGATTGCGCTGACCCTTCTGGACAGGTTGTTCTCATTCAAGTCGCGACAAGCACCACCGAACAGCCAGAGCTCGAAGCCATGATTTCAGACATCGCCATGCGAATTAACTCGATGCACTCAACGCTTGCTCATCAGCCACTGGTATTCCTCAAACAAGATCTTGCTTTCCCGCAATACTTGGCTTTGATCTCAGTGGCGGATGCCTTGATGATCACCAGTTTGCGTGAAGGAATGAATCTGACCAGTCATGAATTTGTGTATTGCCAAGATGGAAAATACGGAAACAAGAAGTATGGATCTCTCATTCTGAGCGAGTTCACTGGAAGTGCGTCAGTTTTCGGCAACCACGCGCTGCTTGTCAACCCCTGGGACTACCGACAATGTGCGGAGGCCATCCATACTGCACTGACCAGGAGCGAGACGGAGCGTCAACGGGTGTGGGAGCAGCTTCGCCGGGCCGTCCTTCAGAACTCGACAGGAAACTGGGTGAAATCCTTCAATGAGAAATTGCAACGTGTCTGGAATGAACAGTCTTCGCGTGAGATCATGGCTGTTCCGCGCTTGCCCGTCAATAAAGTGGAGGAGATGTACCGAAAATCCGCACGTCGATTGATCATTGTGGACTACGAGGGCACTCTTGCGTCATGGGGTTCTCCCAAGAGCATCATTGTCACGACTCCACAGCGAGCCATTACCACATTGACGGATTTGACGGAGGACAGCAAGAATGTGGTTTATGTCATGAGCTCACGAATGCCCGAAGAGATGGAACGTCTGTTCCGACGAGTTCCCGGCCTCGGGCTGATCGCAGAGAATGGCTGCTTCGTGCGAGAGCCGAACACCGAAGAATGGCTCAAGTTGACCAACAAGGAGCGGACAGATGCCTGGAAGGAAGGCGTCAGTCAGATTCTCAGCTACTACCAGGAACGAGCGGAGGGCAGCTGGATTGAGAAACGCCACTGCTCCCTCGTGTTCCACTATGGCTCGGCGGAAGATAACGAAGCTGCCTCTCGGCTGGCATCTGAGTGTGCAGGTCATATCAACGATGCATGCGCCAGTCAGGGAGTACATGCCGTTCTCATTGACCGTGCACTCGTGGTAGGACCAGCAAATACGAACAAGGCCTCGGCGGCGGAACTGGTATGGAGGGACTGCCTCACTGCGAGCCAAAAGGACGAGCAGATTGCTCGGCCGGACTTTTTGTTGGCCATCGGAGACGGTCGAGACGACGAGCCAGTGTTCCGATGGGCTAACAAGCTGGAAAGTGCAAAGGCAGTTGGCTATGCGATGACAGTCACTCTGGGGTCTCGCAGCACAGAAGCCAAAGCCACTTTGACGCAGGGAGTGACTGGTGAGTAGTTTGTCGTGCCATACTAGGCTTCTGAGCAATGTAGAACGTCTCGCTGACTCCAACTGTTCACAGGTGTCCTCTCTTGCCTTGAGAGACTGGCAAATGCGTCACCAGCGCACTAAGTACACGGATTCTTCTTTTGATTCAATCAATCTACGATGGTACGATGCAAATGCCGCAATAATTGGATGTATTGGGATAAATTAATTACACCGCAGCGTTGAAGATAAAAGAAGGTCAACGGGCGTAATGAATGGCATGTCTGGATAGGGAATGTGAGGGAGTATATTTTCGTTCCCTACAGATAAAAATACCAGAACACGGATGCCAGATACACGAACATCTTCATGAACGTTTTCAGTCAGTAGTTTTTTTGGTCAACCGGACAACTGGTCACGAACTGTAGCGGGTTAGTCAGCGTTCGGCAATTATTAAGTTAGTTATAGCTCCAAAGATACGAAGAACCGAGGTCTGGTCAGGTCTGATCCGAAGCGCATGGCCGACGTATTAATGTTGACAATCGACTGCGACATTAGCTACGGTTTCCGGCATGTCTCCAACCTCTCTTTCATTTAACAGGACTTTCAATTTCTTGAACAGCTTGCTTGGCCTGATCTGACCTGACCTGTCAATCTACAAAAGTATTGTCTCCTTTTTCCGGCCGTAACGACAACCTATCGCGATGGCAGCCCCCGCAGCAAACCAGGCCTTTGAGGAGGCGATCAAAGTAACTCCAGTAAATAGCCACCGGTACTCGGCCATCTTGCGGGATGAATGGTGCATTGGCACTGGTGCGTCTCCTATTTTGATGATAGTGATTTGAGATCATTGCGAGCTGATTGACACCGTATAGTTCCCAACGGCGGATATACAACAGCTGTCCTCTACCGATTGGCAATCACACATTTCGCGCACACACACCCCACGCGGTATGATAGCCCTGCCACCCCGATCTCTATGCAGCTTACGTTTCTACGTCGCACGGCCGTCGGGCCGGCTGTGTTGGAGGTGCAGGATACGAAGCTCGGGGCTCGAACCAGTACGATACATGTCGCGCTGTTGCAGCCTAGCGAGAAGGGGAAGAAGAAGAAGGCACAGACAGAGTCGTCGACCTCATCTGACGACGAGGAAAATCTGGAAGTCAAGGTCGCGGGTTACATCACGGTGAGCCCCGCGACAGCTGAAGTGGGCGTGTCGGCGCCCTCGAACTGGACTTTGCTACCTGAGGCAATTCGCGGGTCGGGGCCTCAGGGTCGCGTGAATCTTGCAGCATTGCGGGAGACCGGTCGCGATGGGCAATGGGTTCGGCTGGTTGCGCCGTTTCCCAAGTTCCGCCGGGCGTCGCAGCAGGTGGAACTGTACGGACCCGATGCTGCGCTGGGCAAACCGCCGGTCGTCGACCAGTGGGCACGGTTCCGGCCAGGTGGGAACACGGAGGCGCGGTGGACGAATGAGGCCGTGGCGTTTCTGGTGGACATGTTCCCGATGGCGCTGGATGGGTTTGACAGCATGGGCAAGGCGACGAAGGAGGGAGACAGCGCAGAAAATTCTGCAGGGTCGGAATCAGCGAAGGGGAAACTGGCCAAGTACTGGTACCCGACCGTGACGCTGAACATCGACTTCAAGAAGCGGTTACCGGCGAGCGGGGTGGAGTGGCTGTATAGCCGAGTGCAGACCAGGTCTGTGCGGAACGGCCGGACAGATCTGGACGTGGTGGTTCTGGATGAACAGGGGGATGTGATCGCGCTGAGCACCCAGGTGGGATTGGTGGTGGATGCCAGCCGGAATATCGGGCAGCGGAAGTCGAAGATGTAGCCTTGTTCCCTGCATCGCTTCCCCCTTCTCTCCTTGGACCACTGAATCTACGCAATGAATGTCTTGTATGTACATATATATCTCTATACGGAGTATATACACTAGAACTAGAGTATGAAGTGGAGATGATGGTCACAACGAAGGAGCAGTTTGTATCCAAAACGCCATGGCATCCGTCACCACTGTCTTCTTTTTCGCCCATTCCAGATGACCCCGAGACCGCGGCCGTTGTTCTCGTCACTTTCTTCCTGCACCGCCTGCGCGCGCACCCAGTACTTCCTTCCGACCCGAGCCACGACTTTCGCGCGGACGACAACCAAGCCCGGCACACAGAGGGGTTTCTTGTAGCGGACGTCCAGCTGCGCGGTGTAGATGGCACCCCGCGGATGGTCCCCGGAGGACGGAGCATGCATGGCGACTGCCAAGGACATGGCCTCGTCAAGCAGCGTGGCCACGACGCCGCCATGAGCGGTGGACGGATGGCCACTCACGCCGGGCGTCGCCAGATCGACCATCATGATGATATCCGGAGGAATTGGGGAAGGCGCCGACGACGGGGTTGCGGTGGGACTGGGCCAGACGGGGACCTCCTGCGCGGGAGGGAGGAGGTTGCGCCGGCGGAGAGTCAGACAGTGCGGGATTGTGGAGGATGTGGCCAGTGTTCCGGCGAAGAAGCCATCTTCGCCTGTGTGTGGCTTGGGGAGTCGGGACCAGGTGCGGATGGGATAGTAGTCTGGGGAGTTGAGGAGGGAGTTGGACCAGCCGATGGCGCGAAAGGGATCAAGCAGGGCGGGGTCGGAGGTAGGTTCGCTCATGTAGGAAGTGGGCGGAGGAGCGGAGGGAGGGTGGTCTTTTTCGGCCATTTTGGACACAGATATTGTATCAAGGGAGGAGATAATTGAGGGTGAGATGGACGAGAAGGCAGGAAATGTATCCAGAAAAAGTGCCTGTTCGATGTGTCCAACAGCAGCGACGAACCTCGGCTATAGTTCGGATGAAGAACCATCATGCCGATTGATCGTCGTCAGGTTTACAGTTGATCTGGAGTGATCAGTAGTTAGTTAGACAATCATCTATCAAGATATGGGACCTGAGAAGAATACTTATAGTTGACTCAGATATCGACCTTCTTAAGGTAGTAGACTGAATGTGCTGCGAAATCCTACGATCTTTCATACCAGTCCGCAGCGGGTATGTTCTCTTGTTTATGGAAATGTTATCTCCGAGATTGACAAGTCTGGTGACAAAGGACAAGGATAATAACGAGATTTATTCCTTGTGCTCGTAGTATTTTATTATATGGATCGGATAGTCAACTATTCTGACACTATCTATCTGCTACAGGCTAATTACTGTATAGTGTCTACCTGCGTTGTCCGCCCACAGGTACATTCAGGTACCCAACCAATGTCTGAGCACATGAGCAACAACGGGCATTCCTCTGTTTTCGGATGGTATGATATGACTCGGATCGGACTTGATTGCTTTCCTTTGACGGTATTTCTTATTCCTGTGCCACCAGACCTGAATAATGAAAACAACAACAACAACAACAACAACAACAACAATAATAATAATAATAATAACGGCTGATGATGAATGCTGAGTTACACTAGGTACTCTCCTGGCTACACCTAAAGTGCCGGTCGTTCCTTGATTTCCACTGTACAGAGTAGACTACTCTGTAGGTATCTCCGTAGACTCCGGAGAGTCAGGTGAATGATTGGCTGTCAACAAATGAAATGGGTTCAGTCATTTAAGTAGTAGACTAGGTTACGTAGTGGATACTATATCCTTGCTAAGATAGTTGCTGCTAGGTAGTGGTTGCTAGTTGCTAGCTCCAATTGTGGTGCCTCAGTTGAAGTTCCTCGCAATGTTATACTCGTACGGAGTAGACGATTCTGCACGGAAATAAAGGACTGATTGATAATGAATCCTAGGTGCTATTCAAGTTCTAACAGTCATGGGACCAGTTAAGAAGAAGAATAGCAATAATAATAACGGACAAGACCATGGACTAGCTATGACTGTACCAAGGTATCTCCGTTAGATACTGCAACTAACCTCCTCCTACCCAAGTCCAACGGTCCAAGTCCTAAACTATGATCCTTGGTCGAGTTCGAATAATTTCCGTTTTCGACGAGAATTGACGCTAAACTGGCATTCCTGATCCTCGATAGGTCCTTTCCTTCTAACACAAAATAATCTAAGACTTTGTTTGTTGGGAGAGAATTGATCTTTCCCTCTTGTTTATCTCCCTCTTTCTCCTCCTCCTCCACTTCCTGTTCTTCTTTTACCTTTCTCCCTTCTCTTCCTCCCTCTCCTCTCTGCATCGTCGTCGTCGTCGTCATTACCAATAACGATCTCATCCAGTCAGGATTATTTGCATCCTCAATAACCTTATCAATTGACTGCCGATCTTCTCACATAATCAAAGATCTTCACCTTCTCCACCATGCGCTCCATCGCCATTGTCTTGTCCGCCTTGGTGGCTGCCGCTGCTGCTGCCAACAATTACACTTTCCCCGCGGGCTTCAACATCGCCCAGGTTAAAAATACTGACAAAGGTTCGTTACTGAGGTCGCTCGTCACCCCAAATGGTCAATTGACTAACATGGAGACGATTCATAGCTGCTTGGTGTCTGGCTGAGCGGAACACCTGCCCGAGTGTCTGCGGTGGAATCGCCGATAAGAACTCATGTGATTCCGTATGTTTAGATGAACTTAAAACCCACCGTTCTCAATCCTCACCAAACTAATGCGATAAATGAACAGGACACTCTCCAATTCTCCTGCGTTTGCAGCAACGGTACCGAGGCCGATGTGTCCCCGTACATGCAGACCATCCCCTTCTTTGTCTGCCAGGAAACCTACAAGCAGTGCGTCGATGCCTCCTCGACTCAGGATCAGGATGAAAAGTGTACAGCCGCCCAGAAAGAGTGCGGTACACTGAACGCGACGGCCTCTTCCACCTCCTCATCGAGCACTACCTCTTCCGCTATTCCCACCGCCACGGAGAGCGCGACCGGAAACCAGGCTGAGTCGACTGCCACGGCCACCACGACTACTAGCAGCAGTGCTACCACTCAGACCAGCAATGCTGCCATTCGCCTGGTCGGAGAGCACGCCACTGGTGTGATGGCGACCGTGCTCTTCTTTGCGGCTCGTCTCTTGCTGTAAATGGGGTGGTGTGCCATGTTTGCGACCATGACCATACCTATCACATCCGTTCAGTATATGGAGCGCACAAGACAACCACGGAGATTGATACTCGACCATTCACTTCTCTGCTCTAATGCCTGTTCGTCGCCTGTTTTCCGCACTTTTTTTTTTCCCCCCCCTCCGAACACTTGACTCATTGCACTGCATCGCAATATTCCCCCGCGTTCATGTCTTGTAATTGAGCCATTTGTGATATTATGATCCTGTATGCACTATCCGCTTTTCATGACTGTCCTTAATTGGAGCCTGCAAATACCTGTCGGCGCTTAGGAATTGACTTATTCATGGGTACGACCCGATTTATTAATTGACGTTCTGGTAACTCTGACTTTTTAACAATTGTGATGATGCCCTTGGACGATAATCCGGCCTGTAGAATGATAAGTGCTCTGGACTGCTCCTGTTGGCGGCGGAATGTGGTTAATCGGTGATGACCCTGAGAGTGTGCAAAAATTTCCTTCTCAAAATATGTACCGAATAGTCATGAAAACAATATGCAAATCGATCATAATCATGGATTTATTAAAGTAATACGCTGCTGTTGGGTTGAATCAGTCTCCGTCCACCTTAAGAGATGTCTCTTTGTCAGGTGGTTTCTCCAACCAAAAAGGGCCAATTCGCCAAGAGTTTTGCCCACACTGAAATTTCGCCCTTGCCGGCATCATCGAACTTATCGAATATCGATAGCCTCTTGGGACACTCCACCCCTCTCTTTTTCTTTTCTAGGCCTCTTCTCTCTTCTCTCTCTCCCTTCCCTCCCTCTCCTATCTACGCCCATTATGCCCGCTCCTACCAACACCCTCCTGATCGAGGGTACCTTCACCGAACTCGCCGATGAGTTCGCCCAGTACATTGACGCCCTCCGCAAGAATGAGGACGCCAGCCTCCAATCCGAGATCGCTCCCCTCATTGAGCCTCTTCGCCAGCAAGAACAGTCGGAAGAGGAGCCCGATCGCAAACAGCGCGATGAAGTGCTGAAGAAGTTGGTGGGTGCCGCGGCCGTGTTGAACGCGGCTCCAGAGAAGGGTGAGTTTGTGTGAGCGGGTTGCTATAGATGAACCCGGAGGATCGAGACAGAGAGAAGGAGCTGGGAAAGGCTGACCTTTGCAATCTTGCAACTAGAAATCATTTCCGCCTACAACCTCCTCGTGCACCTGGTGCACCAGGCCTCCAACCCGGATATGTTCCTCTCCCGCATTTGCACCTACCTCGCCAAACCTATCACCACTTCGCCTCAGTTTGGCCCCACGCTCGCAATCTCCATCCTGACCACCATCTTCAACACTCTCACTCCCACCGACTCCAGCCGTTTCCACGTCCTCCTGGCCATCGTCGCCGTCATTCGCCAGTCCGGCTCTTCGTACGCCTTCGAGGCTCTGAAGCCTCAGCTGGCCGCTCAGCTGCCCACCTGGTTGTCTGCCTGGGAGTTGGATGACGAGGATGCTCAGAAGCTGCACCTTGCCGTTGCCGATGCCGCTCAGGCTTCGGGCGATCTTGAATTGGCACAGACTCATGTGGTGCAGGCCCTGCAGACGATCCCCGCCAACGAGGCCTCCAGCAAGAAAGCGCGCGACCTGGCCGTCCGTGCCTTGACCTCCACCCTGAAGAGCCCCGGCGTTTTCGATTTCACTTCGTTGACCGCCGCCGATGCCATCCAGGCTCTTCGCTCCAGCGACAGCACCCTGTTCGAATTGCTGGAGATCTTCACCGCCGACACTCTGGACGCCTACGAGGATTTCATCGCGGCCACCCCTCTCGAAACCATCTCTGGCGGTGTTCTGGCCGATGGCGCCGAGGCTCTGCAGACCAAGATGCGCCTGTTGACCCTGGCTTCGCTTGCGGCTTCGACTCCCTCTCGCTCCCTCCCCTATGCTACCATCGCCTCGGCGCTGCGCGTGCCCGTTGAAGATGTGGAGAAGTGGGTCATCGACACTATTCGGGCTGGTCTGGTCGAGGGCAAGCTGTCGCAGCTGCGTTCCGAGTTCCTGGTGCACCGGGCCACATACCGTGTATTCGGCGAGAAGCAGTGGGCGGAGGTGCAGGGCCGTCTGATGGTCTGGCGCCGCAGTCTGGAGAGTGTGCTGGGTGTTCTCCGCACCGAGCGGGAGCGCTATATCCGAGAGAGCATGCAGGCTGCGACTGAGGAAGCCGGTCAGGGCAAGTCGGGCGACAAAGGAGCCAAGGGTGGTGACCGGAGACGTAACCCCCAGCAACAACAGCAGTCGCAACCCTCACAACCACAGCAGGCTCGGGAGGTTGAGTTGGTTGGAGGTGCTGAATAGATGACGCGCTGAGGGGGAACAAGAGTTGCAGCGAGGCAGGAGAAAGCAATAGACTTGATCGCCACAAGATGAAAAAAAGAAGAAAAGTAATGATTGGGGTGTCCTTTGCTTTAATTTACTTGTCTTGTTCATCTGAACCAGGAGACCCCCCCTTTTACTTGTTCGAATTTCCCGTCCGTTTCTCTTTATTTTCCATTTCTACAATGTTCATATGGTAGCTACTTCTGTTTTAGAGACGGGAAAGCCCTTGGATGCATGTTAGTAGTTAGGAATGGGCCAGATCAATCAATCACGAATCATGTCTTGTTCATCCTTTCTGACGAGGTGTTGGAGGCAGAGATTGTATATTCTTTGGCTCTAGTAAAGGTGGACTAAATGGGATATGTCTATATATATATATGAACACGAACATGAATTTTCTTCCAATGAACGAACAGGAATATATTCAATAACGGGAAAGATGCAAGAGGATTGGAAACAGTTGGCGGTCAAATGCCGAGTTAACACAGTTCCCATCAGATAGGCTGGACACCCTTCTTCTCGAGTCCCTCCCTGATTCTGGCATACACTTCATCGACCATCCCTGTGGCGGAGACGGACAAGACCTTCTGCTGCTCCTCGAAAGCCCGCACGACGGGCATACTGGTCTCAACAAACACCCGGAACCGCTTGCGGATCGACTCGGCATTATCGTCGTCACGCCCCGAGGTCTCACCACGCTTGAGCAGCCGCTTCTCCATCACCTCCTCGGGACAGTCGAGGAACAGAGTCATTTCGGACGGGCAGACGGTATCCTCGAAGAACACGGCCTGGTCGAGCTTGCGCGGGAACCCGTCGATCAGGAACCGGGCCTTCTTCTTCCCGCCGTCAGCGGTCGCGCCGGCGCCCGCCGCCAACGCCTCGGCCATGGCGTTCGACAGCAGCGCCACAGTGATCTCCATGGGCACGATCTTGCCCTCTCTGATGTACGTGCGGATGAGGTCGCCGTACTGGCTTCCCTCGCGGGCCTGTTCGGCGCGCAGCAGATCGCCAGCGGACAGGTGGATGAACCCGTAGTCGCGGACCAGGTTGGCGGATTGCGTGCCCTTGCCGCTGCCGGGTCCGCCTAGCAGGAAAACGACGGTGACATCCTGGGGGGAGAAGCGCGGGGTGGTGTTCGTTGAGGCCTGAGGAGGGGCGGGTTGTGTGGGAGGGACGGCTGGGGGATTCTGTGTGTTGGCCATGTTCTTATTTGCTCGTTAACGAGGTGGTGGTGCTGGTGGTGGTGTTTTTTTTATTGATTGGATTGCGGCTTGCGGACGCCTGTGCGCGATTTCACCAATAGGATGTAGGAACCGGTGCCAATGGCGAAGATGGTCACGAAGGGAAGGATTTTGAATTGAGAGCGGTTGTATTGAGACCCTGAAGAGGAGGAGGAAGACGGAGAGGAAGATGGGGAAGGAGAGTCAGGTTTGGAAGAGGAGGAAGAATAGGGGCGGCGGTGATGCTGCAGCTGTTGGTGGTGGTGGTGGTTGTGGTGGGGTCCCGGTGATGATCTCACGGGATGCAATATCGACAGCAATTGAGCTCGAGCAGAGAGGCTGGAGGGTCGCAGGGCTCCAGAAGGAAAAGACATTCCTTTAAGAATGGAAATGAAGTTTGTACTTGATTCTGAATAACAACTGAGCTGGGGGAGGCCGATAAAGAGGAGCAGCGAGAGCCTTTTCTGTGATGGGGATGGAAAATTGAGTCTAATAATAACAGCAGCGAGATAGATGACAGAAAAATAAGGCATGCAACCGTCCGGAAGTGGCTTAGCGCGATATCTGTATACTTCTCTTACAGCGCAATAGGTAGTCCCTCTGTCTGGTAGTAATCTTTGACAACGGAATCATAAGGTATTCATTTGAACTTACGACAATGACAATACTACTTTGAAATATACAGGTTGATGTGTTTATGACTAGCTAATCAAATTGCCATGGAGTTGTGTGATACTCATCAATTATTGACAGACCATTCAGTCTATTCTGCACCTGCCAACTAGGAAGAGAATAATAAGCGAGTCAGAAGCAGTGAATGATTGAGATCTCAGCAGTTCGTGAGATATGTGTTGTAGTCTCTTAGATTTAGTTGAATTTTGATTGTGAGTACGCTCTGTATTAGAGCTTGGTTCCCTCAAGGCACCTCATCTCCTCCTTCCTCCTCTGTCTCATACGCATACATGCACACATTCTCTTCATACCACTCTTCACCCTCTGAGTATCAGCGACTCATCATCTTGCCATGGCTAAACCAAAACAGCAAAATAGAGATCAGCAAGGAGGCCGTGAATACAGATTCGGTCGAGGAAGAGGCGGCAGACCCAACCAATCCCATTTCAATTCACACGATACAGTAGACAACAACTGTCGCTTTCCAGCAAAAAGCTCCGAACCCAGTGTTAGTTGGACTTACACCTCAGCCTAAGCAAGCTAGGAACCACTGACGACAATCTAGGCATCCTGTGGCAGAGGCGGATACAGGAACGTTTCCTCCGGAGGACGAAAGCATGGTATCTGTGTGAGTCGTCTGCTGTCCTGATTCGATTGAGTGCAACCCAGCTGACAAAGAACACCCAATAGAAACCCGGAGACTCGCAGAAGCCGGGGATTGCGTCCACCGGGAATGTCAAAGCCTCTGTACCCAATGCCCTCACCAGCAAGACGAGTAATGCCATTTCGAATGTTTATCAGACCGGCAGTTCAAACCGTGATGGAAAAAGCTTCACCAAAGGTGAGAATTTCTTGTTCCAAGTCTTTGAAAGTGAACAGACCGCCTCTGATAGCTACCTAGCATACCCTGCTTCTTCGTCGAAGCCCAAGCCTGAGGCAGACCGTGTCCTTTTACCTCAGTCTCTGCAGTTCGTTCCTACGAAGAAGAGCTTCTACCAACGTCCAGGTAGGGATGCATCTGCCATCGTGAGAGACACTCTACCCGCCAAACTTTCGGCATTTCAGCGTCTTCCCAGCGAGTTACGTTGGAGGATCTATGAACTCACTTTTGACGTTCACCGAGTCGAAGTCGTCCGTTTGCGGGACAAGAACCCAGAAAACAACATCAAGAGAGTCCATTACCGCCTCTACCATCGTCAACTGCGACCTCGCGACCCAAGAACACATGCCGCACCCTCAAGTGAGGGACGCTTTACTTGTCCTGCCCTCCCCATTGCGCTTCTGATCACCTGCCGCAGCATCTATCGTGATACTCTGTGCCTGTTCTACTCCAGGATGCAGTTCATTTTCAACACGACTCGTACCGTGATGCGCTTTCTGAAGATCACCAGCAAGGAAGCTCAAATGGCGATCCAGCACATCGAGCTCAACCATACCATGTACAGCGAGCCTGCGCTGCTGAATTTCAGGTGGTACAAGTGCATGAGCGACATGGCGTGGTACAATGCCTGCGATGACCTGACTGTCTACTGCAAGGCGCTGCGTGTCCTTCATATCGATATGAATATTCGGGACTGGCCCATCAGTCTTCAAGTGGGTGAGCGGTGGTCCTTGCCGCTGCTTGCCTTTGCGCGCTATGGACCACGACTCGACTGGGTCGATATTCGACTCCACATGGGCAGCTTCAAAAAGGACCAGCTTGAGAAAGTCGCTCGGGAGATTGAGGAACAGATCATGGGTCCAACGGCTTTTCAAATTCGTGAGGATGAACGGCTGGCGAGGGAGTTGGCGGGGCCTGTCAAAGCCAAGGTTTTAAGACTTGTGTTTTAGTTTGTTTGGTAGCTGTTCATGGCGTTGAAACACTGGGATTGATATGAGGAGTGGGAAAAGGGACTTGCCAACGAAGGAATGGGAAAATTGAGACAGAAATGGTTCGAATCCGCACAAGGATCACTCGTACATTGGCATCAATAAATACTTCAGGCAAGTAGGTGGTCTTTTTCAAAGAAATTCAGGAAGTATATGACTTTGCCAAGTAAGGAAACGCGATGATGATCGATATGTACATGAGTCATGATTATAGGCGACTGTAAGAAGAAAGATGATGGAAAAGGATCCGCGCAAGGCCGAGGTCACCACAATGCCTTGTTGTTGGATTCGCAACCCTCAAACATGCATTTTCCTTTATTTGCTCTCATGAGGCCCAAGATCCTCCGTAGGTTGAGCCTCATCGGATGGGACTGCGTGGTATGCCTGCATACGACGTCGCCGGATGAATAGGTAAATGCCAGCCATGAGCCCGCTCATGGAGCATGCAATTAAAACAAATATCAAGAGCTCCCGACCCCTTGGATAAGCTCATACGCTTGGTTTATAGCTTTGGCTGCTTCCTTGGCTGTGCTGTAAGAACCTGTGACGTCATCTTCATCGGACAGCTTCGAGCTGTACAGCAGTGAAGGGTCGTCAGGGGTGGGCTTCTCCTCGCCCTGGAAACCCGCCAGTCGCCAATTATCTGGTGTAGTTGTGTGGTGAATGGCAGAAGTACCCAGGACGTTCCCGGCCTTATCCACTGCTTCCACGGAGACCCAGTCCAGATATCCGTCAGCGATGTACATCGTTTCAAAGTCGATCTTGGTGGTATTGCCGACCAACACGGGGATTCCGTTCTTCTCCTTGCGGGCGTAGAAATTCCACGAGGCGATATCCGTTGCTCCGTTCCAGCTGACGTGGAAGATAGTCGTGAGGTCTGTCTCATCTGTACCGTACACAGTCGAGACCACGTCCGGCGGGGTCAGAGGACGACCCTCAAAGGGGAATTTGTAGGACCGGTAGGTGGAGAATCGAGTGGATGCAAAGCTGGCCTGCATGAGGACTTTGCCGTCGGGCGAGTGCTCGCTTTGGTAGCCTCGCTCACTCCAGCCAACAAAGACGTTGCCATTTGGCAAGCGCTGAACGCTACCACGGAGCCGTGTGAGACCTCCATCCGGGCGGTCGTAGCGGTTGAGCAGCCGCGCTGTCATGGGGGATGCACTGGTATCCACCTGCACAAGGAGAGCAGCAGAATGGTCTTCATCTTGTCCGCCTTCATCAGAAGCATTGTTCAAGAACGAGATAGTTGTATGTGTTTCATTTGACTCGACAAACCGGACATGGTGCTGCTTAGAGAATGTGAAATCCTGCACAAAGTCTGAAAACTTCCCCCAAGCCTCCAGATAATGTGTCCATCTTGTCCGGAAATGAGGTAGATTGTGTTTGTGAACCGCGCAGACAGTATATAGTCACCGGCCGCGTTCTTATCCACGGCGTTGACATGGACGTAGTCCCAGCCAGGCTGGTGAGACGGCGAATCCCAGGAATTGACTGTTACAGACTCATGAATAGGGATGTGGCCGACCGAGCTCCATTCATAGAGTACAGCTCCGGTAGCTACATCCAATTCCACGAAACCGCCAGTCATGACCCAGCCATGTTCATCGGGACGCCCGAAATCTCCAAGATCCATGTATTCAGGCCGGTATAGGCAAGCTAGGGCTGTCTTTCCGCCGTCGAGGATGTTGAATTCGTGCATATTGAATGCTGAAAGATCATTCGTCACGCCAACGGCATATTCCGGCTCGTAATGCTCATCGAGGACATATCCTAGTCCCTTTTCGCTGCCGTCATCATGATACGCATGCTGCAGGATAAACGAGAGATGAGGTCGATCATCGATGTTGTGCACCGCCTTGAAATCGAAGATATTTCGGTTGTCAAACATGCATGAACCAGCCCAAATCAGGGTCTGAGCAGAATTAGACTCGTAAGTTGGGTCCATGCTTCAAGTGTTTTGGAGAGACATACCCCATCTGCGTCATAGATATACGGTCCGATTTGGCATGGCTTCCATTGCTTGGTGGGAGCCTCTGGGTCAATCACGCCATATGGCGCGACGAACCAGTATCCTGGACTTACAGATTCACGGTCATAGTAAGCAACGTCGAATCTTAGCGCTCTAACTTCGGGGAGCTTAATCTTGTCAGTCCAAGGTCGTCCAGCTTGTATTGGAGGACATACTGTGACAAAGGACATCAAATCATCGTCAGAACCGGCAACACCCTTGCGGAAGAGAAGTAGAAACAAAATGCAGAAAAACATCATGGTCAAGGAGTGGCTAGGAGAAAATCTCCGTAAGAAAAGCAGGCGAGAATAAGAAGCAAAGGGAATGATATTAGGTCTCGAGGGAACTCCAGAGCAGATTGATGAGTCGACGCTTCGACTGGACGACTGCAATCCTGCTGATCAAAGAGACTATAGAAGCGTACAGACTTATTTCCAAGAGTAGCAAAGTACTCCGTGGTGGAGAAGTTAGACGACAGTGATGATAAAACGAGAAGGAAGCTAGAATGAAACTGACGAAGCCACAAAACATGATAATCACATATGCTCATTCACATCGGTACAAGTGATCTTGTGCTCCGTAGGAACTCAGGAGCAGACGAAGCCCATGTGTCTACTCCTGCGACCACGCAAGATCTGGTATGGGATTTGGCAATCAATGGAAGCGGGCATTCTTGGCGACGTTGTAGGCAGTGGAGCAGATTGCGAACTTCGCAGTTTGAGAACAAAATGTGATGGCTGAGTTCTGCGATTGACGTATGCCGACTCGTGTACAGTGGCCCATAACCCATTAGCGGCGTCAACATTAGTCGAGTCCAGGTCGAAGACTGCGCGGCCTGTGATACTTCCCATTCTCGGGTCCCCTTTTTCTGCAACAGCCGAAACCCGATCGGGGAAGATTATTCTTCATCATTATTAGCCCGATTGGAATGTGAGACACAAGACCAAGAGATCTCGATGCTGTGTGCCTCTACTGGATCAGTCACTCAACAGTCATCTTGGCGTCCCTTAGCGGGATTGAGGAACCGCAGTCATCAGAATTTCTGGAAGAAGTCTATCAGCGTCAACAATGGCAATGGTTAGTTCAGCTTTACGGCTGGTTACCCGCAGATTAGTCTACTGGACGACGGCAAATCATTGTTGGGATGTGGACGTGGCCATGCTCCACTGTGCACAGAGCTTGGAGGCCTTGGCTTTTGGCCTAGCCTTCCTTTGCCCAGCGCTGATCACTCGAGGTTCCAGTCCCAATACTGCTTCATCACATCACATCCATCTGAGGCGAAGTGGTTCAGGCGATCCAGCGAGCCATCTGTTTTGAGTCTCCCTGCATTGTGTTGCCCCTCTCTAGTTGAGGGAGCACCACGTGACAGTTCTTCGGAAATGGACACTAATACAGTTAGTTTTACGCCTCTCAGTGATCACTTCTATCCGTACTCGGCTTTATGACCATTATTATTTTCGATCAAGCAACTCACACCCACACCGGTTCGGACCTTCAGACTCGCCCGTGAACTGATCGTTATTATCCAAACTTTTATTTACATAAGCTATTCACAGAATTCTGGGCCAGGGTCCTCGGATTCCAACAAGGTCCTTAGCATGGTGTCTACCCAGACCAAACAAATCACTGAGGGCATCAAGCTAATCTGCACGACTCCGTCGATCCGCTATTCTGCCCTTCAATTAGCGTAGCTCGCAATGGCTGGCTCGCCAAAGGTTTTGGGCCTATATGCAAGAACTTCTGCTAATGCGATAAGCAGCAGTCCTTCTGTGCCTAGCAAATCATCTAGGCCAAGCTGGGGTGGTAGCGCACGCCCGCATACTACGTCAAGATCCAGCCGTGACGGATCGCCCGGGCCATCATGGGTTAGCGCATCAACCGCTAATGCCCATGCGAGTGGGTTGTACAAGACACCCTCATGAGTGTAAACCCCTCCTGCAGGCTTGCCGCCGCAGATGGTCTGTAGGTGGTTATTAGATACGCCGACAGCCCGGGAGTCTGAAAGGATGGCGGACGCCTGGCTGCCGCTCATAGGCTGTACGATCTCATCGAATGTGGAATAGATGGTGGTTGTGGGAACATATGCAGAGTCCCCTCCGTTGCCTCGCAGAGTTCTGATAAACTCTGTGTTCCACCCCTGCTGCCACAGCGACGGAGTGCAGGCAAGCGCTGCCAGCCACGGGCACACAAGTGACCTCACGACCGTCCCGTGGAAATCAGGGCTGATGGCGATGAAATCATCAACCACTTTTCGGGTAGATGGCCAGTACTTCAGGGCCCATTGAGTATCCAGTCCGCCTTGGGACCATGAAAGAACCGCGACGTTGGATTCTGAAATGGCCGAAATATAATTGATTGCATAAGCGACGTATTCAGAGTTGATCTGAACGTCATTCAGCGAGGCCTGGGGGATGTTGAGCCAAACCACGTCAGCATCTGCGGCGCTTCCCAACTTGCCGAAGTTGAAGTAATAAGTCGTCCCAGCGGGTGTAGCAGTTCCGGGAACCAGAATCACAGGCTTCTTTCCATTCTTACCATAGCCGAACGAGGTGGGGATATGAATCGCTGCTCGCAGTGCATTTTCTGCGACTGAGTAACGGGCATCTCCTGGAGCTTTGACCGGGTAAATGGCTTGGCCCTTCGGACTGGGGTTCAGGTTGTGAATCGAGTTGAGATCCAAGTTGAGGTAGCCATTCAAGAAAGAGAGAATGTCGGCCGGTATCAATCCCACCGTGAGGATTTCACGCGCCATTTTCAAGAAATCAGGAGTGCCATCTGCAAAGATGGATTGAATCTTGTCGAAGGCGTCCTGCACAGACTCATCGTCCTTCGTCGAGCGACTGTTCTCAGTCTCGTCGATTTTTGACGCGATTGAGGAGGCAGTGCTCTGAGCCTCGCTTTTGATTGAAGAATCATTGGCAGCACTAGACAGGATCGAAACAAGACTTGAATCCGAAGCGGTTGGAACGGCGCCGCGAGGAAGCACTGCACCAGAAACCAAGGGACTAAAGATTGCCCTGTACAGGACGGCTGCCTTCAGCAAGGAACTCCACCTCATCTTGATTCGGCTGCCACTCAGTGGAAACGCCTTGAGATGGTAACCAGCTTGATTCAGACATTTCGGAGGGAAGGCAGCAGGCAATTTATCTGCCGTTTTCTCCAGAAAAGAAGTATACGAGCTGCCTTCCCCTCTCTGAAATGCCTCGGCCTCCTAATCGTATCTTGAATTTTAGCTTCAATATTGAGACTTCTCTTATTGATGGTGGCTGATCATTCGCGGTCTAATAGGTGTGCGTGACCACTACATTGACCAATTCCACGACCTTACGGGGCGCGGAAGTGCGTCGGGCCATGCTGAGCAAAAGGGGCCAGGGGAAAGAGGCCAATGATAGGATCGTCCTCCAGATGAAGTTCCATTGCTTCTTGTCTTCCGCTCAAGCTCGGTTGACCTAAGTGGATCTTCATGGCAGACCCTGGGCGCTCTGTTACGGGCATCAGAACGAAGAACTGCCCCTCACCAAGATCCAAACGAGCAAGGGCAGGATCCCGAACTCAATCTATTACACTTTGGCTAGGGCCCTTCCACTCCATGAAGAACCCGATATCAATGAATAGCTCAATTCTTCTTCGAACGACTCGAACGAGGCCCCGATTCACTCACATGTGATCGGCGCTCTTAGCTGGGGGAATGCCGGGGTCTCTTCGGCGCTTGCGGCATTAGCAGTTAGCACTTCCCCACATTTGAGGGGAAACCACCCCGTATTGCTGACAATGCTCAGTTGCTCACAGCTCACAAGGCAACAACTCTCCAGCCCCTGCTGTAATCGATAGCTAGTCGCTGTGTTGATTTGTCAGTACTCAGTACTGGCTAAGAAAGCACGAGCTTCTGGAACGATTGACAAAGATCAGAGCTGATAACCTAGGTTGATTGTGATCAAACCATACTACGGCGATCTTCAGATTGCTCCGAGAAATCGACGACGCATGTAAGCTTAACCTAGCTTGACTGTTGGGATGAGGAGAGTACGCAGCAGAATATTCATACATTCTTATGTCGCTTCTAGTGCGCTTTTTGGATGTATTGTCTGCCCGATATGATGGACATACTTGCATTCTGCACAGCAAACTCGAAGAAGAGTAACACGATGGATAATAAACAGGTGGAGCCGCGATCAAGGATATAACTCAGAACGTATAACACGGGGAGCTAAGTCCCGTCGTAGGCAGCAAGGTATGCTCAAGGACACAACGATATTTGTCATGCCAACTCGCGTAAAACTGGGTTGCGAGCGTTGGCATATGGCGAAGGTATCATCCGGTCTTCTCCAACGTGCTGGGATTATGCGCAACCCGATGTCCATGTTGATCGGTGAAGATGACCTTCGAGCGTTAGCATTTGCGTCGTTGACTCTCTGAGACGATGTATTAGGGGTAGTGGGGGCGAAATCGCATCGTCCCGTACCTTGGGGGGATTCGCGACGTCCTCCTCGTCCGCTTCGGCTTGATTCATCACAATCTTTTCAACCTAGAGAAACCCTCTATTAATGTTGATCAAGGAGATAAGCGTAAAGGAATATCGACGTACCTGTCCTTCATGAGATCCGCCCCGATAGCGGGTATAGACATGGTCACCCTCATTAATATTCTCTCCTTTCTTGTCTTTGATTCGCTCGGCCGACATCTTTTTTACTCAATCTGACGACTAGAAAATCTGAGTGTTGATATTGTTAAAGAATTGAAGATGCATCAAAGAACTGGGAAGATATACGAGAGGTACAAAGTGGTTGATATACAATAGATGTTCCGCTTCTGTAATTCTGATGTCATCTCAGATGCACCCATGGATCCTCCGTGGGCAGCTGTCAACAAGACAAGACAAAAGAGATCTTTGTATGGCTTCACTTCGGGTGCTGTGTTTGCATTATTTAGTGGTTGATCGACATCTATCCCAGCAATTGTTGACAGCTACCTTAGGCCTCTAGAGATCTATGGTGGACGAACTGCTTTAGACTCTGTTCCTTTTCTAGAGCAGAACGGTGGAAGTAGCATCTTGGACTTAAGATGCTATTGCTGAATAATGATTTTCTGGATAGAAGAAGACTCAAAGATTACAATAGCAGTCTCAATGTTTTAATCCTCAAGATCAGTCAAATCATAGAAATGACCGACGGCGTGACCAAGACTAGGTAGGCATAATCGGCATCAAGAAACTGCCTAAAGATTCAGAATATATGTGACCCCATTGGATGATTATCATTCGGATGGCATGTCATAGGTATATACACTAATGCAGTCATAGGCTGAAAAAGAGGTCCGTCAGACCAGATCAGAATCACTGATGTTTAAGTGTCTCACAATGTTGCACTCGAGGTTAGGGTCCATACATGGCATACAGTTGCAATTGAAACCAAATTTAGCACCTATAGCATGGTAAATGCGCACGTGCTGGTTTCTGATTGAAGTATTGTCCTTAGCTTAGCAATTATTCCATGTCTTGCTGGTCGTCATCAGTTCTTGTTTCAGGATATGCGATGATCAATGTCTGTCTGTTATCCTAGAGGATGACTGCCCGGCCAAGCTATGCCGGTCAACCTACGCCTGGTGGTTCCTAAATTCGCGCCGTATATTGCTCTCTGGAGTACGTTTTGACCTATTGGGCAAGTATTCCCCTTCACTGTTGTAGATATCTCTCCAAGGACATTCAGACCCCAGAGTAATCCAGGTCTATGAGCAATTTTGTACCCACATTGACCTTCGTTTAAGAAGGTTGGATCCCAGTACTGAATCCACGTTGAGTGGCAATGTTTGGATATCTCCAGACTGCGGCTTACGGGCCTTCCCCGGTCCACGTGGTGAGATGTCACACTAGGCAGAGATTAGTATTTAGTAGTGTGCGATTATTACAAGCTCTGGGAGCGGTCTGAATTCTTTGAGAAAAGGCTCGATGAAAACAACCCAATTACTCGGGATCAGAATGCAAGTAGTCAAGAGATGGTGGTGCTCAGCATTAGAGAGGTCAATATCTTTTCCGATTCGAGATTTCAAGATTTCGCGGATTCTTTTCTTTATTGCCTACGCAATCAACCTACGGTGTGGCGACAAAGAGCGTTGTACAAGCCGTCTTAGCTTGATAAGGTGCGGATGTTTCAAACAATTTGGATCATTACTTGATACGTTGATAATCTTCCGTACCCAGACTGTCAATTGTTCCTCGCCTTCGGCAATGACAACATGTAGTACAAACAACACTACAAAACATTGAGGCACTCTCCCTGATCGGGAGGTGAGAGTATATCAGTAAGCGAGCAGTATTTACTTACCTATGTGATCAAGTAGTATATGTTGCAGGCAAGTGGTATACGGAGCATATCGAACCATACCTTCACAGTGACACTACCTGCATAACCTATCTACCGTGCCTTGGCAGAGTACATACGTCGCTTGGAATGTAGGGTCATACTGGTTGTGAGGTCCTCCAAATCAAGAAACAAGACGCATAGTAATGCACACAGAGGGCACTGAAGAAGAACCTAACAACAGTGTATCATTTATATAGTATTATGATGACCAAATAGAATCAGCCTGAAGATCCTGACACGATTCATAGTCATCGCTACGAAGTTTGGGTTGATGGAGCTGCCAGTGTAACAGTTTCGGCGTTTGTGATTAGAGACTGCCGACTACCACCGTTGCACCATCAAGTGTCACACATACCACAACATGCGGACCTACTGACCAGCCCCATAAAGGAGCCTGCCAAGAAGCCATCATGAGGAATGCTCCTGAGCAAATAATCAACATTCAGCTGTGTATGTCTCTCCCTGCTCGCAGAAAATACAGCAGATTGCTCTCTTATATATTCAATTGTTTTCTGCAGACGATTGGGAGATCTGAGCAGTGAAATGGGAGATGGTGACACGGTACTGAAACGGTAATGACAGAACCGAAACAGCTGGTGGACTGGTTACGTATGGAACCTCGAGAATGTAACTCTGATGGCGATCACCACATCGGCCTACAACTCCTTACGTACCTTAGGTTCACTATTATTTATTTAGCATTTACTACCGATCTCAGTGGATATGATGCTGAAGTCTACTCGTCGTAGCGCATTGTTGTACGTATAGATCACAATGATCAGGAAGATAGGTAGTACTTATTAGTGAACCTGTAGTAGCATGTCCTTACTTATAGAGTAGCTTAGTTCTATTTATGTTAAGGTCATGCAGACAAAGTCAACCCTCTGAAGACGTCTTAGAATTAATATTGGGCATATTGAAGCCAAGAGATCGGCCACGCTACCCACGCTACTAGGTGATATCCTTGTAGTACTCCGTACCTTGAAGGGACTGCTAGTTAAACACCACTAAGTCCTTCATCAACTTGCCGTCAAGTTTTATGAAAATCAACAGTAGTTTCGTCCGCGCCCCTGGAAGAATTTGGACATCTGGTTGATCGTCTCTCTCGAACCCAGTTAGTTTATTACTGCCCAGGATAGGTAAGGTAGTAAGGTAGCAGATGATGGAAAGTAATTACGATACAATACTACCATACCTGAGGGACTGAGGGCCCAAATGGGCACTGTTATGTTGCACTCTGCCAAACAGGAACCATAATCTGGTAGTATCTATCACGGTATCGCCATCCCATTATTTTTGCTTTCCCTATTTCCATTTTCCTTTTCTTTTTTAAAGTTTACATTACTTCGTTTTGGGTTCATGATCGAGATCATCTATCTTCAAACGTCTTCTCTTGCCTCGCTTCCTCCTTGCAGTTGTTATCGTTGCTTCAAGTAGTTCCCTTTACTCCTCCTCTCCCCCTTGTGACAATCTCTTCTGGAATGGACACGCGTTGATCCATGCTCCAACCATCTATAGTCCCCGTCACCCTCCATTGACTACGACTGACGACTGTTACTACGGTACTATTCTATAATATAATAATAATACTACTCTACACTCACAACGGCCCCGGCCTGACCTGAAACTAATTTTGACTGCTACGACCTCTACAACAACCATCTCACCCACCGCCACCACCTTCAACTTGGCGGCCTTCGTGCAACTACAGCATTGAACCTTTCTTTTTTTCCCGTCTGGCACCGTTCTGTGGAGAGTCCCCGTCCACCTCTGTTGATTCGATTGCTTCTATTCTTCCCTTGCTTGGGCATATTCTCCGTATCTTCCTCTTGGTCTACCTTCCTCTCCATCTTACCTCGCCGCTCGACACCTGCAAGGAAAGAAGGTGGCTCCACATTGCCAGTCGAACAAGGACCTAACTTGACACTTTTATTGGTGTCACCTTCGTTCTTCATACATGCTACTGGGCTCGATTGACAGAAAGGGACCTGGTCTTTGTTGGCACCGTTCACTTTATCGTGGACGCACTCGTTCTGAAGCTGAGCTGTCAACCTTCTAACCACCATCAGCCTCGGTGGGGCCTCTATTATTTACTCCTCTGCTCACCCCATACTTTGCCCGAGTCTTCAGATGCATCGTTGTATAAATCGGTATCAGCCTCGTCTTGTCTTCCACTACTAAACATCGTCCCATCTGTTGTCCGTCTGCAGACTTGGCTGTACGTATTGTCGCTTTTGTTGGCCTCCTTAGGTAAACTGCTAGCGTACCATCGTTGCCGCTTCAGCCATGACAGCTCCTCTAGTCAAAGTCCTGCACAGGATGCAGGAGCTCTTCTCCAACATTGTCGCTGCATTAGAGGCAATGATTTTGTTCCCTTCATTGTTCCGGGATCCCTCGCGTAAGCGGCGGAAGGCTTTCCATGGCGCCTACTGGCGACGACGGACGCTCGACAATTTTTCCGAGGAAGTCGACCGCCTCTTCAATGCACCGTTGTCTTTGCGCAATATGATTATCATGTCAGAAAAGATCCGAGAACAATTCAAGTCGTGCCTACAGTCCAGCCCGGTGTGCATGTTGCCATCGTACAACCATGCACTGCCGTCAGGAACTGAGAAAGGGACGTATCTGGCTTTGGATGTTGGGGGATCGACATTCCGAGTCGCCTTGATTGAATTAGGAGGCCCGGGAGCAATGAAGATTCTTCAAGAGTCATCATCTCCAATCGACAACGATGTGAAGCTGTTGGAAGGGACCTTGTTCTTCGATTGGATGGCCGAGAAGATTGAGTCAATGCTAAGTGCGGTGGGTGCTGACTATGGTCGGGAAGCCGTGCCTCTCTCAATGGGATTGTCATGGTCTTTTCCGATTGAGCAGACATCCATCAGCAGCGGCCTGGTGATCCACATGGGAAAAGGGTTCTTGTGTTCCAACGGTACCCTTGGTCAGGAGTTGGGGGATCTGATCGTCCAATCATGCCGGAGACGGAGCCTCAACGTACGAGTCGACGCAATAGTGAATGACAGTTCCGCAGCGCTTCTTTCGCGAGCGTACGTCGACCCTAAAACACGCATGTCTCTAATCCTCGGAACTGGAACAAACGTTGCGGTTCACTTTCCTGTGCACGAGATAGGGTTAACCAAGTTTGGCACCAGACCGCCAGGCTGGTTTGATTATGCCAAGCATGTGATTATCAACAGTGAGCTGAGCATGTTTGGTGGTGGAATTTTGCCCATGACCCGATGGGATGACATCCTCAACCGGACTCACTTACGGCCTGATTACCAGCCATTGGAGTACATGGTTACTGGACGCTACCTGGGTGAAATTGTCCGACTCATCATCGCAGAGGCCGTCGAAACTGCGAACTTGTTTGGAGGCGAGCTTCCTCATTCCATGCGAGACCCTTACTCCTTCGATACCAGCATTGTTGCATTCCTCGAAGCAGACACGTCACCATCACTGGTCCCTTCAGCAGCTCTCCTCCAGAAAGAGCATACGTTCCCAGTGTCTCCATCCGTCGATGACCTGCGCTTCTTGCGACGAATTTGTCAGATCGTATCGAAGCGCGCGGCGGGTTATCTGGCAACCGCGATCCACAGTATGTGGTGCCTACGCAATGATGCGGAATTTTCCGATCCGACAGAATCAAAAGCATCCTCTGTCAAGGATACTCAGGAAATCACGATTGTAGAGAGTGAGGAAGACTCTCGGAGTTTGTCCATCGCATGTGATGGTAGTGTCATCAACAAATATCCCGGCTTCAGAGATCGCTGCCAGGAGTATCTCAACCAGCTCACCCAGCAAACTAATTCGTCGCAGGGGTCATTAGATCCTGCTACGAGTCCTTATATTCGCCTTGAACTAGCGCCAGAGAGTGCTATCTTGGGGGCTGCAGTTGCAGTTGCCGTGGCTGTGGCGGATCAGAAGTAAGAATAAAGAATTCTCACTCTTGTGGAGACTTGATGTTGTTGTGTTCACACCCTCCCTGCGAGGCGTGTCTTTCATGCTCTTGATCTCTTTTCCATTGCCTTTCAACTTGCATTAACGGTGTTGTGCGTATGGACTACTGTTATCGTTATACTCAGCTTATCTCTAGCCCATCGTTTCCATATCATGAGACTCTCTTTTAGTTGCGATTCTGCGATTTGTTTGCTACTGCATATAAGGCTCGAAGAGACGGATGAAGCAGGGGTCTCTAGGCGTCTGGTATAGAGGGTTCGAACAGGCGGTTTGTGGTTTAGACTTTCGATGTACATAATGATAGCCACAGATCAAAAGCATCGGGTCTTTCCAAGTCGACTGATCGCTGTTCATTGTGTTTGGCCCAACGATAACGTACGAGGAGGGTTGGACTGCTGCCGAACGAAGTTTACTTGACTCTCTGACGCTTCTGAAAGGTAGAACATAGCCACAGGGTAGAGCCAACAACCGAGTAATGGTGCATCGCACGGGTCAGATTGTCATGTCTGTGAAGTGGCAAGCCATCAATCTGGACGAACGTCGAGCGAAGGCATTATTTGATGGAACAGTGCGACAATTGCGCGGACAAGAGACTCATTCCTTGCAGAGATCTTGCAGCAACTCCAGCATTCGACGCTGGAGCACGGACAATTCGTCCCTCGAGAGCAGGCCCTGATGTTGACTGGCCGACTCAGTGGATTGAGGGCGTCTGGAAATTCCATGTTGGGGAACTTTCGGGGCGTCAGAAATCAGGCTTTCCTTGATGGTGAAGAAAGGAATACCCAGACGTCGAAGCTCGAATGTCATCGCTTCCGCCATCTGTTTGGAAGCTCTGTAGACCTTCGCATTGTAGTTTTTCAACTCTGCTTGATCTTCTTCGGCTGTCTGAACGAGTAGGCGGGAGTTTGATTAGTCTCAGGTCTCCATGGAAAGCTCTCTTCTTTCCTTTCATGTTGAAAGGAGGCATAGAACATACTGAGACTTGTTTTGTATCATCGACCGGTGCCCCAACAGAGCGCCTGGAGGAATCACATCAGTACAGCTGCAGGAATGTATATGGCAATAGACAGGCCGGACGGGCTATCGCAGGCAATGATGGATGGTTCAACAATGACTTACAAAACTGCATCTAGCTCCTTTTTCTTCTCTACACGAGCCTTCTGCTTCTTGAGTAAAGCTTCTCGTCCTTGCCACCACTGCCTCTCGTGGTCGTGCTGGCTTTGGATCAGTCGTCGAATTCGTCGTTGTGCGTCTTCATTCTGGGACACTTCCCGCATCACATGTCGCAGTGCGGCAGGCCATGTGGTGATGGAAGAAGAGTCCGCGATACTGCTTGATGCATGAGGTTGCAGAGGAGCTTTAGCTGAGGGCGCATGAGCCCCTGTGGTTCTTTGATAAGTTGAATGATTTGAATATACTTGGGCTACAGGAAATGGGTGTGAAGCTTCTGCAGGCTCATACGAGTCGTCTTCCTCGTCCTGCGTTCTTTGTTGAACTGGGGAATGAGGTGATATATGGACAGAAGGAGGATGGTTTTGATAATCCTGATGACTTCGATTATTTGACAGAGCTGATAGCGTCCTCAAAACAGACGTCAGATCTGCGGAGTCGTAGCCCTCCGCATTCATTGTTGATGAAAGGGAGCAATCGGACAGCGAGATGCTGAAAAGATTGACAACGTTTAATTATCAGTCTTATATCCATAGAATGATTCAACGGAAAACTTAGATTCCACGCGAAAGAAATATCTGAGAGATGGACGTAGATGTACTTCTGGAAGTATGGGATGACATCTGTCTAGTGGGCGATGTGCGGGTCTTGGCTCTTCCTTCTGTCCATTCCTCCGCTGAAATTTTCCCGATCTAACCTCCCACGCCGCTTGTGCTGCTTCCGCGATCTGCCACCTGCGCTGCCCTTGGAATTTGCCGGAATAATACTAAAGTTGACGTCAAAAGATACGTGGTTGGGGAGGGCAGCTTGTTTACATTATATACGGCAAACAGAAAAACAAAACGATTGAATCGAAACAAATTGATACGGAGACCCCCGTCCCGATACCATGTCCAGATCCGCAGCCGACGCGACACGATTCACAGCCACAGGGCCCTATGCCAGCTCCAAGCCCGGCGGGACGCCATACAAGCTCCCCAGCTTCATGGCAGAGTCAAAGAAAAACAACGCACGGGGACCCGGTGAAAGACCAGAGACTCCGAAGGAAAAGGTCGAGCGATTGCGAGCCCAGGCACGGGCGGCTCGGCTGGCCCAGTCAACCACGCGCGTCGATCAGATGATTGATGTAGGGCGCAGATTTGCGAACAAGGCGCATAAGGTCATGGTCTACAGTTTGATCACCGCGTCCGGTAGGTGTTTAGGAAGCATGCCAAGCGGCAACCCTCCAAGCTCAAGACTTGTTGATTGCAAGTGAAGGTTACGGGATGGTCGGAATGTGCTAATATGTTCTGTCTCTGATTAGGTATCTGCGGTGTCCTCACGGTTTATTCTATGGTCTCCTTGACACTATACAACCGTCGTCAGCGAGTGTTGTGGGTTGAGAAAGAAATGCAGAAGCTGCAAGATGCAAAGGCAGCTTATGCCAGCGGATCAGCAACACCAGAGCAACTCGAGTTAATCAAGAACGAGGAAATTGGCGAGATTATGAAGCGGAAGAAGGAGGAGGCGAAGGCTCAGAGACCATGGAACCGGGCCAAGGAATACCTGTTTGGTGGACTAAAGCAGGACGAGTCAACTTCCGATTTATCGTCAAAGGTTGACGGGACTGCCGTTAACAGAGTGGGAGTGCTCGAGGCCCTCAACGCGAAGGCTGCGGAAGATTCTAAGTCGAGGACGGCCGCCGAAACAGCGCCAGTGCCGGCACAGCCAGGACAGCTGGATGTTCTTGCTGAGAATGTGGAAACCGCTGCGAAGCAGTCAACACGAAGCTGGAAAAGCTGGCTTACCGGACGGTGAAAGTGACATATACCTACCAATAAAGCAGAATCGGGCATATCTTCGACTTCTCCGCGCTCTCTATCTTCCACTGATGTTGCCGATTGTTCCTATCATTCTTGCATGGCATGTGTCTCAGTCTCTCATCTCCTTTCATTTCCCGTCATTTCCCAGGGGTTGTGGCGTCTGTATACGGTATCCCTTGAGCTTTCTGCCTTGCCTTGACCTATGTAATACTGGCTCCCTCTCTTACTGTGTACATATAATCTGCTTCCACCTTGGTCACTTGGCTCCGCTACCTGTGCTTAAAAGAAATAGATCATCAAGTGTGGGTCTATATGTACAAAAGACCATTTACGAGTTCCTATATCATTGCATCCTGTCTACCCACTGAAAGGAAGGTCGATTTGTGCCCTGAAACGCCAGCTGCACCTTACTGGAATCGAACGTTATAAGAAGCCCAAAACATGATCAACTGAGAAGACAAGGCTCAGAAAACTTTTGCTTCAGTCTGGTTCCCCAAACCCAACGGTGAATTACTTAAGAGAGCTCATGGAAGATAACAGTCGCCAAATTTTGACAGAAGAGAAGATAAATCCTAAATGGGGAATGTCACGATGGCCCTGGTGTCTGAATCAAAAAGAGCGCTTAGGTGGATCACCAAGGAAGACATGCCTCGGAAACTGCCCCAAGGGAACTGCTTATTGCGAGACACCATTCGATTTAGAAGCTTTGGCGGTCCTCCTGGTACGGACTGCATCAGCGAGGTCCTCCAACACAGTAACAGTTGTTTCCCAGTTGATGCAAGCATCCGTAATGCTGACACCTTTGAGAAGTCCTGAGGGACCCTCAGGGGGCACTTTCTGGTTGCCTTCATTGATGTTGGATTCAATCATCACGCCAATAATGGCGTCTTCGCCCTCACGCAGCTGGTCTGCCACCTCCTTAGCAACGAGAGGCTGATTGCGGTGATCCTTCTTCGAGTTTCCATGAGAGCAATCCACCATGACCACCTCGCGCTGCTTCTTGGCCCGCAGGGCCTCACGGGCGCTCTTAATGCTCTCTCGATCGTAGTTCGTTCCCTTGTTACCACCACGCAGAATCACAAAGCCGTGCTCGTTGCCTGACGTCTTGGTGATGGCAGCAAGGCCCTGCTTGGTCACACCAAGGAAACGGTGGGGGTGGGAGGCAGCTCCAATGGCGTCAATAGCAACTGTGAGGTTGCCATCCGTGCCGTTCTTGTAGCCAATAGGAAAACTCAGACCAGAGGCCAGCTCACGGTGCAGTTGCGATTCAGTCGTACGGGCACCAATGGCTCCAAGAGAGATGAGATCGGCAAGGTACTGAGGGGAAATGGTATCGAGCATCTCGCTAGCAATGGGCATTCCCATACCAGTAAGATCAGCATAGAGCTTACGAGAGACACGCAGACCCTTGTTGATGTTGTAGGTTTCGTCAATATCCGGGTCGTTGATCAGACCCTTCCAGCCAACTGTTGTGCGGGGCTTCTCCAGGTAGGCACGCATAATCACACAGAGCTCTCCAGAAAGCTTTTGAGAGAGCTCCTTCAGCCGGGTTGCATACTCGAGCGCTGTAGCGGGGTCATGAATCGAGCATGGGCCTACAACAACCAGGAGGCGGTCATCGCGTTGTTCAATGATCTCAATAGCCTGGTTACGGCCAGATCGGACTGCCTCAATCGCATGGGCAGGCTGTAACAAAACTGGTCAGCCCCAATGTTATACTTTTCACGGGATGGTTTATTTGGCATTTCTGAAGAGGATTTTGTAGTCCCATATTGTTTGAGGCTGGCCAGGAACAGGGCTGAGAAATGGGTGACTCACAGCAGGGATCTCGGACTGAAGGAACTGGGGGGAAAGCAACGGGTCATATCCCAGGACTGAAGAGAAAGATCAATTGATTAGAGGGACGATTAATTTCTAGTATAACAAAGAAGAGACACTTACCACGAGTGTCCTCGTTGACCTCAGTAGTTTTTACGAGGGGCATGGTTTATCGTGGGGTTGCAGCGATGTCGGAGTCAAAAAGGAAAAGTTCTGAGAGCTTTGGGGGAAGACGGAGCAGTGGTTTTTGTAGTCAAGACCCAAGAGGAAGCAGCAAAAACTAATGAACAAAAAGAAGACTCTGAACCAATTGAAAAAGCGACGTTAGTCACAAGGTAAGATGGCGATATGAAAGTGGTTATTTATGCCAGATGGGATACGAGTAGAGAGGTATAACAGAAGAGGAAAATTGCAGATCGGGTATCCTAAGTGGGGTAACAAAATGATTCACACAGAGAAAATCATGCACCCAAATCATAAACTGACCACTTAAAGACTGGTATTGTAATTACTCGGTCGGTCGCATGGAATCTTGGATGTTGTACCTAGGTAGGTACAGAGTACTTTTAAGTACCTACCACACCTTAGCTAAGTATCTTAAGCATCGGACAGCTCTGTACCATTGAATGGAAATACCAGGTACTTACAGCATGGAAATATATGCTTGAGATCTTCTACTGCCTTACCATCACCCTTTCTATTGTCAATTAAAAAGACAAGGAGATAAAACTCAGTGTCGTCACAGTCCATACTGCACTTCTAACTCGTCGGTTCATGCCTTTAAGCATTGGACTTGTGCCACTCCATTGCCACCCTTTTACCCCGTGCCTGACGCCTCAATTCGATCCTGTAAGAATTAGATGTAGGCACCTTAAAGTAGGTTTTATTCTGTAATCCATCTCACCGCACATTGACCACCACTCATATATCTAGTTGTAACACCGAGTTGTTGTAGTACTTCACGTCGGCCAAAGGAGTCTAGACCCCTACGGAGTCCTTTACTGACGGGAGGTCAATCTGAAAAGTAAGCTCGAGTTTCTTGATCTGACTAAAACTGAATCACTATTTGCAGTCATCACTCATGCGGATGACGTCCGCAGTCCTACATGGTATGGACTTCATGTCCCTGAGAACGATACTTGAAGTAAACTAGTAAGATACAGAGCTGAATACTTGAAGTATACATGATGCAGGCTCAGGCTGGTTACAAATCAGACAAACCTATATTATAAACCGAACCTTACTGATGCAAGAAGGCCACAGACTACCTACTTATGAATCATGTAAATTAAGAACAGGTGAAGGAGCTACTTCTGTCTAGTGACAATCAGTCTACAAGGCGCATGGTCAGAGTAATATGAGCATAATGCTAGCGTGATCGATATAGTGGTTTACCTTAGTAGCCGATGTGTACATCACTAACCTTTAGCGATAAGTATAAAGCATAAAATTGTTCTCCACTTCGGTCCGCTACTCCGCTTTCGAGGCTAACGGACAGTGAGGAAGCTCAGTCTTAGGATCTTAGCAGTACCTTGTGGATTGGTCACCAACTTAGTCCAGACTAGGTTATTCAGAGCTCCCATACAAGGCCAGCTTACTGGTTTGCTTCCTCTGCATCATTCTCTTCACCGTTCTCGTTGACGTGTATGCTGGCCTCAAGTTAGGGAGGTTTCTCACTGCCCCTTCCCTTTCAAATATTCCAATCGACGCATTTCGACTGAATGCAGGCTTGAACATCCATTCTTAAACCATTCTGGTTGAATAATCACATCATACCCTTACCTTTTTTACCCGGGAGGGTCACCGTCTTCAGTGGGATGACGAGAAGGTCATGTTAGGGATCTCGAAACGACAGAGGGAGCCAGATGAGCTGACGGGCGATGATAAAAATGGGCCCAGGGTGAACAAGGTCCGTATGCTTTCCGACCGATGCCATGATCCATTTCGTTGAAGCAAGGCCAATCTGCCGCCTGCCGATTCATGTTATACTTTTCCTTGCGTGCAAGTCATCCACCCTACAACTACTGATAGCCGCGCGTCCAGAAACCACGCCCTTTAGCCTTGCGCACCTCTCCAGATAGCCGAGGACTCTCCTACACCGAAGCTTGCCAGGCGTCAAACCGACCTGGTGGTATACCTACTTTGACTCCTGCCGAGTCGTCAGATGATGATGACGATGGCATCACTAGAACGTTACGCCATCCTACAACGGCAGCCGTGAACGCCTCGCGTTGTGTTCCGCAGATCCTTAACTCCTCCGCTCCGGTATTTAGCACGACGATGGACGTCGACAGCATAGGGGACACCTATAACTTGACTAGCAACGAGATTCCGCACGACTGGCCAGGCAGCACGCCTCGGAACGGGAGCGTTCAACCATCACCAATCCCACACAATCTTGTCAATCAGTTCCTCAACATCAGCGGACAACCTAAAGCATCGAGCATACCCGAACATAATTCCGCAGTTAATCCGTCCGCGCAAGTGATGGATCAGGCCTTCGTTGAATCTACAAATAAGATTGGCCCTCCTCAAAAGCTGTCTACCGAGAGTAGTCAAAAAACTTCTGGCTCCACTCAGCGTCTCCCAAGTCCAATCAGCGAGGACGATAATACCGCTTCCCATGGAAAGTGCTCTACGAGTGATGCTGAGATGACAAGTGGTGCATCTCGATCAACATCCCCGGCGCTCTCCCCATTTCAACGAGACCCGTCGCAGTGGTTCGGCACGACTGAATCACAACAGCAAGCCACACGGTCCGGCTATCCAAACCTACCCCATTTAAACAAGAAGAAGGTATCCTTTGCCATGGGATTTCGAGCTGATTGCGACAAATGCCTGCGCAAGGTTCCGGGCCACTACAGCCATATTATCCGCAATTGACATCTTTTGTCCTACTTACGACAACCTCACATGTAATAATCCCTCATTCACCACCATGCGACCTTTCTGATGATACCTGTTCTATCGTCATGATTTATCTCGTTGAGTGCTCTTGAAACCAATATACCCATGGAAGCAACGGTTCAGAGACATCACAGAGCTTCAATGTTCATAAGGATGGGGCCACGCAACCCACATATATCAATGCTCAATAATCCCAATGAATGAAAACTTCGACCTTCTGTTCTACACAATCGTTCTCAACTGGTCCAGGGGAGGTAAGACATGTAGATAGGTAAGGTAGATCCTTGAAGTCACTTGATGTTTTCTCATTTCCGACAAACGATCCGAAACCGATGACATAAGCCACCGCATCCGATTAGCGGTCGGATTTCCCCCTACCTGATATCCGAAGGACAATGGTGCACGAAGGTGTAAGCAAGACGAGCCGGATGACCTTCGAAATAGTCGAGTAGACAGGAAACATTCGAACAATATGAATGGGAGGTGGATATGATAACAAGGCCTCCAGGCTGCACGTGGTGCATTTTTATGAGCGATAACATCCCCACATCCCGCCATCCTCAGATTGCCTCCGCTGCTGCCGGCGGCAGATCCCTTAGCCGAACTTCATTGCCGGCAGTTCAATGGCAGCTTCAACGCCTCGTCTAGGCATGACGGGTCCCGAACCCCGGAATCCAGCCGGGTAGCCTCTTTTATATAAGTATTTTGCCGGGTCCTGATCTTCCTGGGATAGTGGAGGCGAAATTAACTGCTCTTTGAAGGTGTTTTGGACGATATACGGTCACTATCTCGGCCACGCAGCTTCGCCCACCTTGACTCTCTCAAAACCTAGAATTAATCGACAGGCGCCAGTCTCCGATTGTGTCGGCGTCAGACCACTTTCACAGACGCCCGAATGGCTTCTCCTGTTCCCCGCGGCCTTCGCCAGGTCCTCCAAAAGTCCCCTTCAGATATCGTCATTCTCTCCGCACTTCGTACACCAGTAACTCGCGCGAAGAAGGGTGGATTCAAGGATGCCTATCCCGAAGAGCTTCTCACCCACGTCCTCAAAGCAACTCTGGAGGCGAACCCAAATCTTGACCCAGCTCTGATTGACGATGTCGCTATCGGCTCGGTCCTCCAGGAACTAGGCGGTGCCAAAGCAGGGCGCATGGCTCAGATCCACGCGGGCTTCCCCCACTCGGTGCCTTTCCACACAATCAATAGACAATGTTCGTCTGGCCTGGCCGCTATCACAGCCATTGGTAATGGAATTCGGGCAGGTGCACTGAACGTCGGCGTTGGTGGTGGTATGGAGTCTATGACCCGGAACTACGGGTCCCGTGCTATCCCGACCGTTTTATGGCCTGAATTGAAAGAATCGCCATCCAAGGATGCTAGAGACTGCATTATGCCTATGGGAATTACTTCTGAGAACGTCGCCGCCCGGTACGGTATCTCGAGGGCGGATCAGGATGCGTTCGCGGCCGAGTCGCACAAGAAGGCTTCAGCTGCCCAAAATGCTGGCCTGTTTGACGCCGAAATCGTGCCAGTCAAGACCCTTTCTTTTGACCCGGAGGATCCTGATGCGGCGCCCAAGGAGATTACCGTGACAAAAGACGACGGTATCCGTCATAACATTTCAGCTGAGAAGATGGCAACTTTGAAGCCTGCCTTCAAGGCAGATGGCACTAGCACCGCTGGAAACAGCTCGCAGGTCAGCGATGGTGCCGCTGCTGCGTTGTTGATGCGCCGTTCTACCGCTACGGAGCTTGGCTTGACTGCTTCAATCCAGGCTCGCTGGGTTGCTACCGCTGTGGCTGGATGTGCTCCCGATGAGATGGGTGTGGGACCCGCAGTTGCCATACCCAAGCTTCTTGAACTTGTCGGCATGAACGTTTCTGACGTCGGTATCTGGGAGATTAACGAGGCTTTCGCATCGCAGGCTCTTTACTCTGTGCGCAAGCTTGGAATTGACGAGGCCAAGGTTAATCCCAAGGGTGGTGCCATTGCGATTGGTCACCCCTTGGGTGCTACTGGTGCCAGGCAGCTCGCCACTTTGCTACCTGAGCTCCAACGCACTGGACAGGATGTTGGTGTAGTCAGTATGTGCATCGGAACTGGCATGGGTATGGCCGGTATGTTTGTTCGGGAGTAAATGTATTGATTCCATCTGGTATCAATTGCGGTGTATCTATGTTATGATAACGGCGTAAAGACATGTATATACATCATAGCGTTAAATTAGATATCCCTTTGCTATGTTACGCATTTTCTATATCCTTCTGTCCAAACGATTGTATGAATTCCTCCAGGTTAAACCATACACTGTGAGAAATGGTCATGGATTGGTCGTGGTGCCAAGACTATTTTCCAAGTCACGTGAGAATATTGCGGAAGATCGCTCGGCATCATGAAACTTTTCGAAAGGTGGTGGTGGATAGACAACAATTTCCGCAACGCCCCAGTCATGCGTCAATCACTGCGGCTATTGAACCTGGAGGTGTCACCCCTCCAGGGCTCCAGAACTCTTTACGTTTGTTCGATCTGTAGACAGGACGTGCGGCCGCGCCCCGTCCTTGTCCGTCAATTCCTGCGAAATGCCTCGAACGCAACACCACTCACCGAACGAGTGCGCCGCAAGATTTGGGGAACGGACAATCCGCCAGGCTTGAAGGATCCATATGGAGGCGAGGGTGTTCTTGAACGGAAATGGAAGAAGCAGCCTGAACAACAAGAGGAAGAACCGGCTCGCGGGTCCAATGAAGCTCTGGAAACCCAGAGCGAGGATGTCTTATCTGATACCTACGAGCCTGCAACAACATGGGAGGGTCTTCCTCGTGTTGGTCACCTGGGGAAGTGGTCAGACCTTCCCCCTACGGAAGCTGATGTGTTTAATCCGTAAGTTTGCTACTCTTCCTCTACATGCCGTTACACACTCTTTTCGCGGCCGCGGCAGCTTTGGTGAATGACAACGAGCTCTTTACTGACCAGGAATGCAGTTTCATGCTCAAGAAGAAACTGACCAAGGAGGGCCACCTTCATTTGGCCGCTCACCAAGCCGCAGTCGAAATCTGCCTGATGCATGCGCTCAAGAAGCCACTCACGAAGATCTGCGACGTCGTGGAACATGAAAAGCCCGTTTTCAAACTGATCTGGAAGTGCAAGATCAAGCCGAACGCAGAGAGTCAATGGGGCCAATCTTTGGTCTATCCGGACGACGAATCGAAGGATGTTCTCGTTTACATCTTCGAGCAGATTGGTGGGGGAGCCGATACTACTGCAGTACCAGCCGAGGAAGAAGTGCAAGAGGATGCTGAGACAGAGGAGCATGAGGAACCAGTCGAAGATTCGGTATCGCAGGCCCCCACTCCTCCATTCTTCGGTTACCGTAGTGTGCAGGATAAGGGATTCCTCTCCCTGTCATTGAACGATCCAGAAACTAAGTTTGCTGTAAGTTGTCTCACATCTTTGATATAGTATCTAATGAGACATTCTGCTAACTTCCCGTTATCATAGTTCCTGAAGAGACTGTCTCAATTGAGCGGTCACTATTTCCCTGATCCTGTCATGCATTCGATTTCCACTGTCAAGCAGGCCGTGGAATACCTCGAGGGAGTCGTCAATCCGAAGCCCACCAAGTTGGCCGATCAATTAGTCAACAACCCCGAGCTTCAGCACCTGCCTAACGTCAAGCTCTTTACCAAGCGACAGACAGCTTTGCACAAGGATGAGGAATCGGGTCGGAAAAAGATCATTGAATCTGAACTTCGCGCCAGAGGCCTCATTGAATAAAATGTGTCTCGCGTTCAGAATGTTACACTAAATATGTCATATAGTTTTATTGGGTAGCATGTTTTCGTTCTCTTCTGAATAGGGGAACATCTGTACAATACATGAAATATGCTTTTGGGATATTTACAGCATCAAGTTAAGTGTTAAAGCGTCTATCGAATATTGGATTTATCAGAAAGCCGGTGCAGTAGCCGACAAGCATACCCCATTAACGCCGGGCGCCTTCAGAAATGCACACATTAGAGCCCATTATCTCTTAGAGGGCATCGTGTAGCCTCTCGTCATAAAGTCACTATTGGTGGACTTGAAATCTCCAGAGCTTTTAGTAAAAAGACTGCTGATATTCTCGTTCGCACCCATCATTTTCCGACGCCTTTTCTTCTCGTTCTCCTCTTCCAGGACTCGAGCGGTCAGCATCGCAGTAGAGGCGTTCTTGATACCGTTTGAGGCACTGGGAGTCGGAGTCGAGGTATTACTTCGACTCGAAGCCGCAGCCCGATCCTTTTGTGAGTAAGAAGCCAAGGCTGACTTGGAGTCTGCTTCGGTAGTGGCTTCAGTCTCAGCCGAATCTCCATTAGCATGCTTCTTGCGCTTTTTAGAGCCAGGAGCTTTCTTGAGGGAATGAGTGAGCCCTTGCTCGGCTAGCTTTTGCGCTCTCGCCATCAGCCGTTGTTTTTCTGATTCTTTCGGTGGAAGAATTGGGATGACATTATCCTCGGCGTAGGGCTCGTTGCACTGCGCGTCACGAACTAATTAGCAAAAAGTTGGGAAGCTGAGATGTGGGTCACAATAAACGTGCCTGTAGACACTTATCGTCCTTAAGCTGACGAATGGCTTCTTCAGAGAAAACATGGCCACATGGGACAAGGTAGACCGACTTCACACTCGGGCCTAGCTGCTTAGCAGTCACGGGACAGATCCATGATTCGCGTCTATCATGCTTGCTGGATGGGTGTTCGCCACGCTCCGTATCGACTTCAAACTTCAGCTCAACAACATCGCGAAGTCCCTTCACTCGCCCGCATAAGATCTCTTCGCAGTCTGCTTTAGAGCTGATACCCTGGGCGTCGTCACCGGGAAGCAGGAATTCCAATATTGCATCCTTATTGTATAGATTACCGACACAGTCGGAGACAATAGGTCGAGCTAAAGGTTTATGCGACAATGGACAGTTGGTCCAAAAGTGTTCTTGCATTTCACGTTGGGCCTCTTTCACTTGCGCTGTGCTGGGAGCTTTTGCGGCCTCTCTGACGAGCTCGCGGCGAGTTGGGATACTATGCAAGACCTTAGTTGGACAATCCTACTGATGAAGCGCATTAAGAACACTTACCTGCCACCATCATTACCCATTTTTGCAGCGATTAATTCCAGAAATTTCGTATATAGAGTATCTGAGAGGTGTTGCGACAATCTCATTCACAGATCAGTCGTTGCTTGCCACCAAAGAATGATAACGGGATGACTAAGGCGCCGGTCCATTCTCCGCAGATTGTTTCCGCCGCCTTATCAACAGCTGGCCAGAAGCTCTCTCCGCATTCCTATAGAACAACTGTCCCGGGCACAACAAGGCATTGACGAGCGAGCTCAATGCTTGCATCATGATACTTTCTCAGGGAGTGCTCTTCTTTGCGAGCATAGCGGCATGCTCTACTGCCGCCGCTGCCGCGACCGATGGTACAGCAAGACCTCGGGGTGTCGGTCCAGAATGTAAGTATACTATTACCATGAATCTGAGCTCATGTGAAGGCTCCGTTCGCCTGCTATGATATTCGGGCCCCATAAAGCTCTATCTATATGTCTCCATGATTGCAATTGTTAGAAACCCCTTTACGAGTTACAAACAAGCTAATGGCGCAATTCGCTTGCACCAGTTGCCAAGTTCTACAAAGACACCACGACATTCAGTTGTATATCGAACCCAGCTATACAGATCCCCTTCTCTGCCGTGAACGATGACTACTGTGACTGCCCTGATGGCAGCGATGAGCCTGGGACGTCAGCATGTTCTTATTTATCCCGTAATTCCCCACTGACGGCCGCCGATCGGCCGGGGAACAGCGACCTCGAACTTACACTTGCCCTCCCGGGATTTTATTGCAAGAATAAAGGCCACAAACCGTCATATGTTTCCTTCCAGCGAGTGAACGATGGTATCTGCGACTACGAATTCTGCTGTGACGGAAGTGACGAGTGGGCGCACGTCGGGGGCACCAAGTGCGAAGATAAGTGCAAAGAGATTGGCAAGCAATGGCGCAAGCAAGAGGAGAAGAGAGCGAAGTCCATGACGGCTGCCCTCAAGAAGAAGAAGGAACTGCTTGTGGATTCGGGCCGACAGCAAAAGGAAGTCGAGGACCACATCAGGAGATTCGAAGTTGAAATCCAGGCACTAGAGATGAAGGTGAAGGACATGGAGGCTGAATATGAGGAGGTAAAGAAGCGAGAAGAGAGCAAAATGGTAAGCGGCAAGAAAGCAGGCAAGGTTAACATCCTTGCTTCCTTGGCCAAAGGACGGGTTGAGGAACTGCGGAATGCGCTGGTAGAGGTTCGCAAGGAGAGGGATGAGGCTCGATCGCGGCTAAAAGAGCTCGAGGACATCTTGTCCAAGTTCAAAGTCGAATACAACCCCAATTTCAACGACGAGGGTGTCAAACGAGCTGTGCGCAGTTGGGAGGAGTATGCTGCCAGAGAAGACGTGGGAAATCTCGGAAACAGCGCCCGCGACCGAGATCTGGATGAAATTGCCAAACCTGATGACGACACATCGGGAGTCAACTGGAAGCAGTGGGAAAATGAGGAGGACGAGACCGATGCAGGTTCGTGCTTCAGCTACTTCATTGCGTATGCCGGTTCGGTTGCTGACCCTTCCATCTAGTCTACAAGCTGGCAGCTTACTTGCCTCCTTCTATTGTGTCGTTTGTGGAAGATAAAGTAATTTCTATTCGGCGCTTCCTCGAGGACAACGGCATTCTGCCCAAGAAGGAAGAAGGCTCGACTGCCGAATCCAAGGTAGTGACCGAAGCTCGCGAGAGTCTTGAAAAGACCAAGACCAGTCTGGCGGAACTATACACTCAGCTGAAAAACCATCAAGCCGATCTTGAAACCGACTATGGAAAGGCAGGCGTTTTCCGCGCCCTTAAAGGCGTTTGTATCTCCAAAGATTCCGGGGAGTACACGTATGAACATTGCTTCTTGGGCGAGACCAAACAGATTCCCAAGAAAGGCGGAGCAACTGTTCGGATGGGTAAATTCGGTCGTATCGGATCCGTCAGCGTGGACGAGCTCAACGAGACCGGCGAGATTGTGCCCGAGGAACGGGTTTCTCTTGAGTACACGAATGGGCAGACCTGCTGGAACGGACCAGCTCGGTCAACCACAGTCATCTTGGAGTGTGGGGAAGAAAACGAGATCCTCAAAGTGACAGAGGACGAGAAGTGTGTCTACTCCATGATTGTCACCACCCGGCGGTATGTCCGGG